GTATCTTTTCTTTTTTTCAAGGTTATTATCAAAACACAAACACAAAATTTTTAATTACTACTGGGAGTTTACAAAAAACCCACGAAATATGTTTGTGGCCACGCAGGAATCCATGCCCTACTGTTAGAGAGACAGGATCCATCCGCCCTGGCCGGTTTGGCTCAGCGGTTGGAGAGTCGGCCTGCAGTACAGAGGATCCATCCAACCCCCTGACGGAGGCAGAAGTACTTGGGAGGCCCCGTGAGGTGAAAGCAATCCCACCTGTGAAATGGGGATGACCAGAAACCCTGCCTCCCATATTTTTGAGGAATAAATAAGTTAATACAGATAAAGCAAGCAAAGTGCATGACACACACTAATTTTAATTGTAAACCTGTATCATTATTTTTACTATTACAAACATCCATGTAATAGACATATTTCTTGGCCCATTTGTGTGCATTTTTGTGGGGGAGCAATTTGTGGAAGCAGATTCTTAATCAAATGCAAGGCTCATTATTAAGGAACTCCCTCACCATTCTCAAACACCCGAGTGGGAGGGGACTCCCAGCGAAGGGTCAGCAACATAGCCACAACAAAGCCAAGGGAGTCAAGAGTAAAGACTGGCATCAGGTTGCCTGTTTTTTTTTGTTTGTTTTTGTTTTATCCTCACCAGAGGATATTTTTCTATTCATCTTCAGATAGAGCGGGAGTTAGGGTGGGAGGGAGAGACACAGAAACATCACATCGACTGGCTGCCTCCTGCACCACCCCCAACCAGTGCCAGGGTGAACCACAACGGAGGTACGTGTCCGTAACTGGAATCAAACCCGAGACTCATTGGTCCACGGGCCAATGCTCTAACCGCTGAACCAAACTGGCCAGGGCACTGCCTGGGTTTTTCATCTTGGCCTCAACCCTTGTTCGCAAGTCAATTAACTTCCCTGGGCCTCAGTTTCTTTTTTTTTTTTTTTTATCCTCACCCGAGGATATTTTTTTCCCCATTATTTGTACAGATAGAGTGGGAGGGAGAGAGAGAGAAAGGGAGAGAGAGTGAGAAACATCGACGTGAAGGGGCACATCGAGTGGCTGCCACCCGCACGACCAACCAGGGCCGGGGACAAACTGCAACCGAAGTACGTGCCCTTAGCGGGAACCGAACCTGGGTCTCTCTGGACCGCAGGCCGACGCTCTAACCGCTGAGCCAAGCTGGCCAGGGTGGCCTCAGTTTCTTTATCCATAAAATGGGGATCATGAAATAGAGTAGAATTAATCTGAGGCTTAATTTGGACAAACAAGGGGAAAATTTATCATAGTATCTGGCTCAAAATAACCATTCATTATTTAATTTATTTTTTACTAGGAAAGAGGATACATAATACAAAACTCAACATGTGCAAAAGGGTGAAGAGTGAGAATTAAGTCTTCCTCCCCTCCTGGGACCCCAGGCAATCAGCTCCTCTCCCCAGATGCAACCACGGCCACCGGTTCCTTAGATGCTCTTCCAGATGTTCTATTTCCTTACAGGTATACAGACACATAGACATACAGTATATACTTTTTCTTTCACAGAAATTGTGGCATATGATTTACATTTGCATCTTACTTTTTTTTTTTTTAATCCTCACCCGAGGATATTTTTCCATTTATCTTCAGATAGAGGGAAAGGAGAGAGAGAGAGAAACATCAACGTGAGAGAGAAACATCGACATGAGAGGGACACATGGACTGGTTGCCGGGGAAGAACCGCAACTGAGGCAATGCCCCTTGGCCGGAATTGAACCCACAACTCATCGGTCCGCGGGCCGACGCTCTACCACTGAGTCAAACTGGTCAGGGCTGCATCTTACTTATTTTACTTAGGGGAACAGCTTTGAAATTATATTATTATTTTTTGAGGGGTCATTTTGTTTCATATTTTATGTATTTATTTTTGTTTAAAATATTTTTTAAAGATTTTTTTCTTTATTAATTTTAGAGAGAGAAGGAGGGAGAAGGAGAAAGAGATAGAAACATCAATAAGAGGGAACATCAATTGGCCGCCTCCTGCATGCCCCCCACTGGGGATTGGGCCCACAACCTGGGCATGTGTCCTGACCAGGAATCGGACCAGCAACCTCTTGGTGCATGGGTTGATGCTCAACCACTGAACCATACTGGCCAGGCTGCTTGAAATATTTTATTTTCCTTTAAAGACACTGCCCAAAGTTGGTATTTCTTTCACTTTTTTACTTTTTAAAAATAATTTATTTTGTTACAGATGTTTCTCCATTTTCCTCCATTGACACCTTCTTCCCGTTTCTGCCCTCCCCCCCAGCATTGTTGTCTCTGTCCATTGGTTATGCATACATGCATATAAGTTCTTTGGTTTATCTCTCCCCTCTGAGGTTTGTCAGTCTGAACCCTACCTCTATGTCTCTGGGTCTATTTTGTTCATTCTATTCCACAAATAAGTGAGATCATGTGATATTTGTCTTTCTCTGATTGGTTTGTTTCACTTAGCATAATACTCTCCAGGTCTCTCCATGTATTTTATTATTATTATTATTATTATTATTATTAAAAGGGCTAAATGCCAATGGGATTAGCTGATGGGTGTAAAGGGGAGGGGACTGAAGGCCACCTGACAGCCTGTCAGGCAGCAGAGCGTGGCTGTCCACTGAGACCATAGCTCTTCCCCAGGCCAAGAAAGGACATGGATAAAAGAAGGAAAGGAATGTGAGAAAAGCCCATGTGGCACCAGACAACAGCCCTCCAGGCCAGCTATCTTTTCTGTACCTTCCCAGGAAAGCAGGTCCTGCACCTTTAACTGTGCAAAACACGTGCTGCACGTACCAAGAGTAACATCTGGGCAGCAGCCACCCCTAGTTAAAGAGACAGGCTCTCCTTTTGGATGAAGCTTGGACTGGGTTCAAGTTCTAGCAATTTGATGAAGGGAGCAATAAACAGATACCATTGGTGTGGAGGACAGGCTTCCCAAGGTGAATCCTTCCTCCAGGGGAGACTAGCAGCCTTCAAGATTGGTTCTTCCTCCTGATATGCAATGATTCTGGAGACTTGGCCATGGGACCCCCACTGCCCAAGGATCTTTTCTGTCCACAGAACATCACCATTGAGGTTCTTCTTGGGTCCCACAAATGGAAGGTCAGAGCCAGTTTCCCAAGGTGCCTCCCTTACTGTGCTCCCACATCAGCTGTGTGACTTCGAGCAGGTTGCTTCGCTTCTCTGAGCCCCTGTTTTCTCATTTCACAAATGGGGGCAATACTGACCAACTTGAAGGGCTGTTGTGAACTGGGACTAAAACAGAGCTTTGAAAATTGAGCCAGCTGATATGTGCTCATTTTCTTCCTCATTACTCACCCCTCCATTTCCTCCTCCAAGGGTCTGGAATTTCAGTCTGCATCCTCTAAATTCAACAACATCTGGTGGATTCTGGCACCAAGTCCTGTCCCCAGCTGCAGAATCTCCCCTCCCTGGGTCCTAGTTGGGTGGTAGAAGCCCTGGATTGCACTAGTGCCTCTTCCCTTTACTTGCCTTGTACCTTGGGCTTGTTGGGTCCCTCTGGGTCTCACTTCTACCAGCTGCAAAATGAATAAATTCTGTACCATGAGATGATCTCCCAGGTTCCCAGGGATTGTACCTATCTTCGAAAAATAACATCTGTTGCCCTGGCCGGTTCGGCTCAGCGGTTGGAGCGTTGTCTTGTGGACCAGAGAGTCCTGGGTTCAGTTCCTGCTAGGGGCACCTACCAAAAATAAATAAAAAATAACGTGTTGCTTTTGTTTGGTTTGGACAAATAGTTATATTTATTGTAGGAAAAAACTCCTAAAAACAATGAAAAAACTAAACAAAACATCTACCGGGCAATAATATGATATAATCACTGTAAACATTTGGCTGTCATGTTAGCATTGTCTCTATGCATTATTGTATCTATAAGAGTATATTTTTACTGAGTGGGGTCGTGATGTGTGCACAGCTTCCTCCACTAAAATGTCAGGAGTGTGTTTCTCTGCCCAAGCAGTCCTAGGTACTTAACCTTTTCTCTTTTCCCAGCCCTTACCCATGGCCTGCTTTATGTTGTAATTGACAGCATGACATCCCTCCTCCCTCCACCCTTTGTTCCCCTGGGGGGGTGCCCTGCCCACCAGGGTTGCACCCACCACCCATTCCTTTGGAGCCTAATCTGCTGCGGAGGCCCCTGGATCGCCGTCTGAGGGTCTCTTCCAAGAGATGGAAGCTCCTGCTGATATCTGCTTCTGGAGCACTTGTGACTAGAGATCTCGAGTCGTTTGTCGGGCTTTGAAAAGATCCGACCTGTGAAAAGGGCCCTAAAGTCCCTTCCTTCCTTCCTTCCTTCCTTCCATTCACTCATCAATGAGACCTCAGGAGCAGGACCGTCCTAGGCTCAGAATGGCCTCCCAGGGACAAAACGGCAAATTAAATGATTCCCTTTGTGGGCGTGTTGGGGATAGGCTTCTTCATAACCAGCAGCCAGGAGAGTCTCGGCAGGGGTGTGGATGCCTGCGAACACATTCCTCCCCGCCCCCTGCCCACGGGGCTTGGGGAAGGACTGATGAAATCCTGAGCGCTGAGTCTTACTGAGAGTTTATCGCGGAGCTGTTCTGAGGGCGCTACAGGTAAAGTGGGTATTACGATAGCATCGGTTCATTGGGTGTCATTAACCCGTGCAACACCCAAAGAACAGATGCTAGTGTTATACCCACTTTAGGCAACGAAACCTAGGCTCACGGCTACGGCTGCCATGAAGCCTTGGCGCGGAATGTGGGGTACAGAAGTCGCCCGCTCTCCTCTCCTCTTCCTGGCTGTAGTGAAGCCCCATTGAGAAGGGAGAGAAGAGAGCAGGCCGGCAGAAGGACCCAGGAGCCTCGGGCACCGGGCAGGGGGAACCGCTCCAACCGAGAGGCCTCCGTTCTGGCACGTCTGCAGGAAAACCTTCCCCCGGGAGGGCTCCGGGAGGGGAGGAGGCGGCGCGACTCCGCCCCCGGGGCGGGCCCAGTGCGTGGCAGAGGCACCGCCAGCCTCGTCGCGAAGTTTCCAGGCTGCTAGCACCGCGGGGGCGGCCGGACGTCCCCCCATCCTGGCTATGCGGCCCCTGCTGCTCCTGGCCCCGCTGGGCTGGCTGCTTCTGGCCGAAGCGAAGGGAGACGCCAAGCCGGAGGGTGAGGGCGCGGGCAGGGGAATCCGGGCGGGATCCGGACGGGAGGGCTCATCTGGGGGCTGCCTCGGAAAGGACCAGTCTCTATGGGAGGCCTGGGCTTGCGGGGGTGTCTGGGTTCCGGCTACTTGTCCACTGATTTGCTGATGACTAGCACAAATCACTTCCCCTCTTGGGGTGGTGGTTCCCACGTCTGGGAGGGAAGGGACAGCTGAAGTCCCGTTCAGCGCCCAGAGGGACAGCCGAGGTCCTGTTCGGCACCCAGAGAGATAAATAATGGCTTTCATAATAATGAGAGAGGTTGCTATTTGTGGAGCACTTATTGTGGGCCAAGCATCAGTTAAGCCTGATGACAACCCTCCGGTGTGCACCCTCTGTTATCCCCGTTTTTCAGCTGGGCAAACTGAGGCTCTGGAGTTGATTCACTTGCCCCAAGTCACCCAGCTTGTGGGCCTGGGAACCAGGATTAACACCCAGGTGCGTCTGGTTCTGGACCGCAGCTTCCGCAAGAGACCGTGGAGATGAGAGGCACCCAGAGGGGTGGGAGGGGTCGGAGTGTGGAAGGGGTGGTTCTCATGGCAGAACTGTCTGCACTTTCAGCCAAGTCCTCTGTGGTCTGCTCTCTCCCGCCAGGTGGCTCTTACTTTCTCCAGTTTGCATGTAGGGAAATAGACCCAGACAGGTACCTTGACTGCCCAAGAATTTTTAGCTCTGGAGTGGTTGTCCCAAGGTCTTCTGGACTCCAGGTTCTAGTGGTCCTTCCTCATCCCCAAGGCAGATGGGATTACAGAATGGGCCCCACTATCCTGAGTGGGTGCTGCTCTCCTCTCCTGCCTTCCCTGGGCCACCTCCAGGGCTGCCCGCTGAGTATCTGAGAGCCCCAGAATGGCACAGATCGTGGGCAATCTCAGGGGAGCAGATCTGAACTGGCCACACCTTCCGTGATCCTCTGTCCCTGGGCCCACCATCCTGGAGAACCTGGGTACTGGAGGGGATGGAGTAGTGGTTTAGCAGACCCTTGGACCAGGGGAAGGGATGAGAACCATCATTTCTTGAGTGTTCCTTTGTGCCACGTTGTGCCCAAGGCCACATGTCTCTGGTAAAGCCGGTTGCTTGATCTCCATGAGGCTTGGTGTCCTAGCCTGCAAACAGGGGCCGTGATACCTCATTCCTAGAGCTTTTTCAAGGATTCCATGGGATGAGGCTGTTGGTGAGAGTTCAGCTCAGTTTCTGGCTCATAAAGGCATTTTCTGGCCCAGCGCTGCCAGCTTTCCTGGAGTATCGCAGCAGGGCAGTAAGGCAGGTCAAAAAACCCAGTGAAGGAGGTGCTGAGCCAGGGCTAGGCAAGTAGTAGTGTGTGCAAAGGGCCTGTGGCCTGGGTCCATTCACTGTCTGGGAGCCAAGAACCCTATAATAGCCTTTATTTTCCCTGGACCTCTGCTGGGAGTTCCTCTGCTTCTGTTTATGTGAACTCCCTCCACCCCAGACCATCCCATGAGAGAAATTCTAGCCCCCTACAACGAAGCCCAGAGAGGTGAGTCAGGGAGAAACCAAATCAGTGCCAAGACTTCAGGTGCCCTGACCCCCAAAAGGTGATGGGAGGTGGCTAAGTAGACACAGGCAGCCCCCAGAGTCTGCAGGATTCAGGGTGTCGCTGAGATAGCCCAGGTAAAGCACCTAGTAGATCGTAAACATTCATTGATGGAGAAGAGACAGTGGGTTGTCAGGCATGGGGCTAATGTCAGGCTGCTCCCAAGTTCAGGCTCTGTTCTTCCCTGCTCCATTCAGACCCTTTTGATAAGTAGGGAATCATTAGCCTCATTTGCAAATGAAAAGACTGGGTCTCTGAAAGGTTAAATACCTGGTCTCAAGTTGCCACAGCTGGTTGAAAGTAAAGTCACTGACGTAGACTCAGACCTATTGCTCATGCCTGTGAAGCCTTACTCTGGAAGAGGCGGGCTGTTTCCTGGAGACACTGCCTGGAGGAGCCTGCCCAGCTTCCCCAGCCCCAGGTGAGGTGAGACCCTCAGCCTACCGGCCACGAGGACAGAGTGGGATGGCAGTTTTTCCTGCAGGCATTGCCCAGGCTGCCCACTGACAGGTATCAGGAGGGAGGAGGCACTCCAGAAGCCCCCAGAGACACCAGCTCCTCCTTCCCCTGGCTGGGCTGGGACACCCAGTCCTGTACCAGGTGGCTGGCATAGGGCATCTGCTGGGAGTGTCCCATTGGGGCAGGCATAGAGATAGCACTGTGTGCCCCCCTGAGAGGGGCAGGGGATTTGTATGGAGTGTTGGGAGTGGAGATACTCTTGTGCACCCTTCACCCGAACGTGGATTCGGCACGTGGAGGGAAGGACGAGCAGTTTGCACTGCAGGCCTTGGCATGGGAGGGAACGACCCACGGGGAACCAGGAGCTGCTGAGATCCGAGGCCCCAGGGGACGGAAATGTCCCCTGAGTCAGGCAGGCCTGGCTGGATGTGTATGAGTCAGGAAGGGAGGGTCTGAGGAGACCTGAGGCTGCTAGACCTGGGGAGGCAAGGTTGGCTCCGGTCGCTGGGGATCCCCATCTTCTGCCATCTGCCTAACCCAGTTTATGGCTTGTGGTCAAGCCCCAGGTGAGCATGGAGGCTAGAGGAGGAGCCTCATTCATTCCCACCTCCCCAGAGAGCAGACTGGGTGTATTATGACAGGCGGACCCACCATCCAGTCCCTTGCCTGGGCTGGCACCACAGAGGAGACATCAGCCAGAGCACAATGAACCCAGCCTGAGTTCTCAGCCTTCTCTTAGGACCCCAGAGAGGTGTCTGCACTCCCCGAGCCCCTGACTCAGCCTCCCCACATCATTCTTGCTCTCAGGAAGACTCCTCACCACCCTTACCCCCAGGGTGGCACCTGCTCTCACACAGCACCCTCTCTTGGGGGGTTTCCCTATGACAAGAATGCATGGAGCCCCGTGGCCAATGCTGTGCTCAGCACCTATGGACATTCGCTCCTATCACCCTGGGAGGGGTCTCTGGTACATCATTGTTATTACTCTCATTTTGCAGATGAGGCAACAGGCACAGAGAGGCTAAGTGACTTGTCCAGCTGTCTGTCTTTGCCTCTCCACTCTGCTGTCTCACTTATCTCTGTTGACCCTGGCTCGTGGGTCATTCATCTGGGGAAACCACAGCTGGACTTTGAACAGCAGGTCAGGAGGGCCGAGAGCCCTGGTGTCAGGCTTCATGCGGGCTCTGGCCTCAGCTCCTGTCGCCTCACTGCAGGCTGGGTCAGGGCTCTGGGCAACCCACAGGGTGTCACCCTGGAGCATTGGTTTCTGAGCACCCAGGCTCCGCCCACCTGCTTCCTGTCTAGGCTCCTAACTGTGAAGCCGGTATGGGGGATTTAGTATATGTAAGGGCTTAGAACAGAGTCAGGAGAGCAGAAAATGTTCAATAAAGGTTGGCCATGCCCTGGCCGGTTTGGCTCAACAGTTAGAGCTTCGGCCCGCGGACCAGAGAGACCCGGGTTCAGTTCCCTCTAAGGGCACGTACCTCGGTTGCAGTTTGTCCCTGGCCCCGGTTGGGGTTATGTGGGTGGCAACCAGTCACGGGTCTCTCTCACATCGATGTTTCTCTCTTACTTCCTCCCCCTCTCCCTCCCGCTCTATCTGAAAATAAATGCAAAAAATAAAATAAAGGTTAGCCATCATTGTTATTGTTATCTAGGAGCAGAAACCCAAAAAAGGAGCCTGAAGACACAGCACCCCATCCCCCTTTTCCTCCCTCGCTGCCTGCCTTCAGGAGTCTGATCTAATGGAGAATCCAGAATCAATCAATCTCTCTCTCTCTCTCTCTCTCCCCCTCTCTCCCTCCCTCCCTCACACACACACACACACACACACACACACACACACACAGCCTTTTTCCATCCGTGAAATGTGACACTCTTCCTGTCCCCAGTAGCTCCTGTGGACAAAAGAGGGCCTCAAAGCTGCCAGCTCTGGCCCTCCTCGCCTGGGTGGAGACAGGGGGGACTGAAAAATCCTGGTAGGAGTTAGGGGAGCCCTTCCCCAAGAGTGAGAAACACCCCACTTTCCCGGACCCCAGGGTCCGGTGGTGAGGCCTCCCCTGTCCACACCTGCCTAGTGAATCCACCCCTTCTGCCCCAGGACCCTCGGCCCACCCCCAGTGGATCCTGCCAATCCCTGCCAATCCCTGCTGGGCCACTTGGCGCCAGCCCCCTGCTCTGGGGCCGGCAGCCTGCCCCTCTGCTGAGCAGCTCTGCCGGCTGGACCCCTTTGTTCTTTATTTGTTTTAATCCTCGCCTGAGAACATGCTTTTTATTTATTTTAGAGAGAGAGGAAGGGAGAAAGAAACATCAGGGTGAGAGAGAAATATTGATCAGTTGCCTCTCATCCGGGGATTGAACCCACAACTTAGGTATGTGCCCTGACTGGGAATTGAACCCGCAACCTTTCAGTGTATGGGGTGACACTCAACTGAGATGCACTCTTTGTTCTGTTAGCCCAGGCTCCTCCTGACCCCCTAGGAGGAGAGTGGGGGCGCCTTACCTGCCTTTGCTGGGATTCTGACCAGGCAGGCCAGCTGCAGAGCCTTTGCTACTCAGAGAACACAGCCTCAAAGTGTGGTCCGGGAGGGGCTTCCCAGGGCTCCCCGAAATGCTTCCTGGGGAGTTGTTTCCCACAGATTCCATTGTAGAGATGAAGCCATACAGCAGAGCCTGGGAGAGGCCCCTTGTTAAAAAGATAATACAGCTGCTCTGGTCAACGGCCAGGATTTCAAGTCGGTTTCCGCTCCCGGCCCACTCTCATTGGATCTCACGGTGTTGGGAGATCCCAGGATGAAAGAGGCTCAGCAAGAAAGTCTGTTGGGACTGATTAGCAATGTCTGCCCTGGGTGCGCTGTGGATGGTGGTGGCTGTCTCTGGGCTAATGTCCAGCATGGGCTGGAGAGGTCCTCCTGGCATTCGGCATGCAGAGTGAACCCCACCCCCACCCCCCGGCCCTGTGCCTGTCCTAGAACCCCTAAAGCCAGAGAGACCCAGTCCTGCAATGCCAGATGCAGATGCCTCTGTCCCGGACACTTCCTGGCATGTTGGTCAGTTACCAGGTGGATGGAGCCCCCTGGAGGAGAATCGGGAGACCCAGGTTACATCCCAGCTCTGTCACTAACCAACTGAGTGGTCTTAGGCGCATCCCTTCCAACCTGGACCCTGGGCTCTTGTCTGCAATGGAAATGGAGACGCGTCATGCCAGACTTGACAAGAACAGTGACCTGCCCCTGCCTCTCGCCTGTCCTCATCCTCCATTCCCACTGACCACGCTCTTCTCTGTCCCTAGACAACCTTTTAGTTCTCACGGTGGCCACGAAGGAGACGGAGGGGTTCCGACGATTTAAGCGCTCAGCCCAGTTCTTCAATTACAAGATCCAGGTAAGGGGCTCACTAGGTGGGGCAGAGACAACCAAGGAGCAGAGGGAGAGTCCAGGAGCTGCATGTCCACCCTTCCCCAACTGACTTGGGGCCACACGGGAAGCTTCTGGAAGCCTGAAAGTTGATGACGAGTTAGGAAAAGCAAGAGGGGGAAGAACATAAGCACAATCCAAGAGGGGCTGGCGGTGGAGAGTGTGGGGAAAGGAAGACTGGAGAGCTGTGCAGTGGTGCTCAGCATTAGTGCGCCCAGGCTCACCTCGGGGGGCGTGGCCAGGTTAGAGGGCATCGTCACTTCCACAGCTCCCTCAGGGGATGTGGGGATGCCAAGTCTGGAGACCTTAGCTGTGCAAACCCTCCTCTGAAGAAACAGGCTAATGCCCAGTCCATCAGTGTCATGGGTGTGTCCTCGGCGTGTGGCCTGGGGGCTGAGCCCACAGGGAGACATTCCTCCATTCAGCTGAGTGTGCTGAGTGCCTCCTTGTGTCAGGTACAGTGGTAGGCACCGGGAATGATGGACAAGACAAACCATGTCACTGCCTGCACAACTTGCAATCTAGTGGCATTAAGCCAGAAAGAAAGTGTGTTAGCTCACACGAATGAGATTTCAACCAGGGGATTGCTTCCGGCATAGCTGGACCCAGGGGTCAAACATGGTAAAGTCTTTGTCTTTTCATCTCTAGGCCCTGCTTGTTTTCATTTGCAGACACACTCTCTTTACATAGTGGCACGATGACTACCAGCCACACACTCATGTTCCCCAGCTTCTCAACCTCAGCAGAGAAGAAAGTCTTTCCTTAGAACAGTCCCAGGGAAGACTCTGATAGGCTCTGCTTGGGTCACATGCTCACTCCATGGCCATGGGAGAGGGGAGGTATGGGGCACACTGATTGGTCACACGACCACCTTTAATGGGCCTTGCTCTGCAGGCACTGGGCCTGGGAGAGGACTGGAAAGGAGAGAAGGCATCATCAGCCGGTGGAGGGCTGAAGGTTCGGCTGCTGAAGAAAGCTCTGGAGAAGCACGCAGACAAGGAGAACCTGGTCATTCTCTTCATAGACAGGTCGGTGGCTGGGGCTTCCTGGCAGGGTCCCTCAGCAGAGACATAGAGGGATATAGTAAACTGAAGTCCTCCCAGGACATCTGAGATGGGGGCGGGGGGGTCACTCTAGCTAAGGGTGGGTCTCTGCATCCCAGGAAAGACCCTCTGGTGTAGCCCATTCCTGCGCTTGGTGAAAAGATGGGCCGGAGACCTGCCCAGGTGTGGCGAGTCATGCTCTTAGTGTGAGCAGGGCATGGGTTACGGACCATCTCTGCTCTGGGCGGGAGTGGAAATACGGTGGGCAGGCCAGGGACAGCTGGGCGGATCCATTACCTAGACTGTGGGAGAAGGGGGATTGTAGAAGCCTCATCTGGTCTCCTGGCCCTCACCACACCTCTGCTCCCCTCTGCCCCCTCCTCTTCTGGCTTCGGCTGCAGCTACGACGTGGTGTTTGCATCCGGGCCCCGCGAGCTCCTGAAGAAGTTCCGGCAGGCCAGGAGCCAGGTGGTCTTCTCCGCGGAGGAGCTCATCTACCCGGACCGCAGGCTGGAGGCCAAGTACCCCGAGGTGGCTGATGGCAAGCGGTTCCTGGGCTCTGGAGGTGAGGCGTGTGTGGCGGGGCGGGGCAGGCCCCCGAGGGCTCCCCCACTGCCTGCGTGGGCTCCTCCCTTGCTGGGTGTTCATACGGACAATCCCAAACGCAGCCTGTCCTGAGTCGAAGTCCTGATTCCTTAATCTTTAAACTTGCGCCCCCTGCTGTCGTCCTCATCTCATTGACTGCCACCCATCTGCCCTGGGTGAACCTGGGAGTCACCCCGATTCCTCCCTTGCCCTCCCCCACCGCAGTCCTTCGACAGGTCACACAACTCCCACCTCAAAAGATCTCTTGCCCTGGCCAGGGGGTCAGGTGGTTGGAGCGTCATCCCCCATAACAAAAGATTACAGGTTCAATTCCTAGTTGGGGTGCTTATGAAAAGCAACTGATTGATGTTTCTCTTTCACATCAATGTTTCTCTCTCTCTCTCCCTCCCCCATTCTACCTCCCATCTTCTCTCTCTGAAATCAATAAACATATCCTCTGGTGAGGATAAAAAAAGGAAGATCTGCCCTGGCCGGTTTGGCTCAGCGGTTAGAGCGTCGGCCTGCGGTCCGGAGAGACCCGGGTTCGGTTCCCGCTAGGGGCGCGTACCTCGGTTGCAGTTTGTCCCCGGCCCTGGTTGGGTCGTGTGGGTGGCAACCACTCGATGTGTCGCTTTCACGTCGATGTTTCTCTCTCTCTCTCCCTCTCACTCTATCTGAACAAAATAACGAAAAATGTCCTCGGGTGAAGATAAAAAAAAAAAAAAAAAAAAGGAGGATCTCTTAAATCTGCCCTCTGGGCTCCACACCCACTGCCACTGCCTCTCTGGGCTCCTGGCCATCTGTGATGTATCCCGACAGCTCTGCCAGCCTCCACCCTCACTCCATTCTCCACCCAGCAGCCAGAGGCAAATCCGCGCTCATCCCTTGATGGCTTCCCATTGCAGAGAATGAAATCCACGCTTTATCCTGGATTTCTCTGTCCAGCCACGGAAGGGGGATCTGCCCCCAGCAGCCGCTTTCCCCCACTGGCCAAGGGGGTTGGTACTGTCCAGATGGCCTGGCCTTGGGGTACAGGTGTCGCCTGGGATGGGGCCCTCCCTGGCTGCACCTTCTCCCATTTCTCTTCTCCTCTCACCTGTCTGCACCATAGCCAGGGACCTGTGTGGGTTTTTCCCTTTAAGCCCCCATGTGCTGTGTGACCTTGGCCCCGCCTCTGCCCTTCTCTGGGCCAAATTTCTCAGATAACTGTAGGAAAAGGGTTCCAGCTTGTCCCACCAGCTCTGTTCTCCAGGAACTCCTAGTCTAATCCATTCATTCCCCACCTGTGTGGTGCCCAGCACCTAAGCTGGTGGAGTTTGCTCTTTCTGCCTGGGCTCAGTGGGAACTTGTCACCAGATGACTGACTGGCAGACTGTTTCCAGCCTATCGACATCACTGTCCTCAACCTGAGAGGAGACAGGGCTTGTGGACAAAGGAATAGGAGATGGAGGAGAGGGGAGGCTGGGAAGAGGCCCTTCGCTGGAGGCTGGAAGCCATGTGTCTGTCTCTGTGTGTCTTCATGCAATCCCCAGGCTTCATCGGTTATGCCCCCAACCTCAGGAAACTGGTGGCCGAATGGGAGGGCCAGGACAGTGACAGTGACCAGCTGTTTTACACCAAGATCTTCTTGGACCCAGAGAAGAGGGTAAGAATCAGCGGGTGGGGCTGGGGAATCCTGGATCCCACCTGCCAGGCTGCACTGGGAGCAGCCCCTCCAGGGCCTAATTCCTGGGGTGGCCTTGACACCCCCATTTCTCCATTCATTGATTCACTCATTTATTCAGCATATATTTATTGGGCACCCACTGTGTGAGAGACACCGACAGGTACAGGGCAGGGAGATGGCAATGAATAAGAGAGTTGGGGTCTCTGCCGTCATGGACCCCTAAGTGGGGAGACAGGAATTTACAACATCATGCCAGGTGGTGGTGGTGATGAAAAGAATGATAGGCTGAGCTGCCCCTCCCCACTCGCCTGGGGGTGTCCTGAGAAGCTGATGAGAGCTTGACAGGCCACTGAGCCTGTCTTGAGGCAGGGATCATTGAGGGGAGCGGAGAGAGCAGAACCAGGCCAGTGCAGCCCCAGATCTGGCCGGTAGCCTCTGGGTAGACAGCAAACTCAGGGAACTCTTAGACTTCAGGATTCCTGGATTCTGCCTTGCTTACTTCCCCAACCCCCATGCATGCTCCGCTGTGTGACCTAGGGTAAGTCACTTCCCCTTTCTGGGCCTCATTTTTTATCATCCACAGAATGATGAAATGAAGCAGTCGGGCCTGTGCAGTGTAAACTATAAACCTGATGTTTTTTGTTAACTCGCTCCTTCCTCCTTCTCCTTTGCCTACATTGGCATCACTGCAGAAGTCCAAGGACTAAACCATAAAAATGGAGCTGCTCTGCATGGGATGAGGGCGGAGCCTCGAGTGCCCCTTGCCCTTTCTCAGCCTGGCCTCGGGCTCCATGGGACACAGTGGAGTGGAACAGTCAGCACTGTGCCCATGAACAGGGACTTCATGGCCAAGCTACCTGGGTTCAAATGCCAATCAGCTGTATGACCTTGGACAAGTCACCTAACCTATCTTTGCCTTGTTTTTTAAATTTGTAAAATGCAACGATGATGGAGTTTTCCCATAGGGCTGTTGTGCAGATTAAATTAAGTGATGTGTATGTAACACTTAGAATAGTGATTGGCACACAGTATGAAATTCTCTCATAAGGATGTTATGCAGATTAAATCAATGTGATTGGCATGCAGTAAAGTGCTAAACAAGCGTTGTTATTATTGTGGTGGTGGTGGTAGTGGGACCAGCTGTTTCCTTAGCTTCCTTCCAGTCCTGAGAGCCCCTGGTTCTCTGTAAATGGAGCCGCTGGGCCAGTAGATCCCAGAGACTTGGCCACTGGCTGGCCTTCCCAGGGCTCCCAATTGGCCTGAGGTGACGACAAAGCAGATGTGGGGAGAGGAAGTGGTGGAGGTGGGAGGGCAGGCTGCCCACAGTGGGTGTGATGGAGCCCTGTCCTCTGCCAGGGCCTGTCCCTGCTGCAACCTGGTGCCCTCTTTCCTGCAGGAACGGATCAATATCACCCTGGACCACCGCTGCCGCATCTTCCAGAACCTGGATGGAGCCTTGGGTGAGCAGCCCCCACAGGGAGGGGATGGAGACAGGGGTGGTGAGAAGGAGAGGAGGAGTCCAGGCAGGGCCTGAGCCCGAGGGGAAGAAGTGGCTGGTTCCTCTCTGTCCATTGTGCTGGAGGTCACCTGATGCACATCCTGTCCCCAGAGACCACCTGGGTGCCTGGGCTAGAGCTGTATGTCTCTTTGGGTGGAGAAAGAAGGGTCGCAGGATCAGTTTTCAGAACCTGCCCACTACCAGGGCAGGGGGCAGCTCTCAGCCTGGTAGGAGCTGGGCAATGCACACAGCAGGTCTCATTTCCTGCCCTGGATCCTGGTCCTTACCGGTGAGCTGTCCCTGACCCTCCCCCCTCCCAGCTGGAGGTTTCCTGGGCTGGGGGCAGGGACTGATCTGGCAGGGAGTTGGGAAGTGAAGGCCAGTTGGTCCTTGAAACCACAAGTGCCCTTGGGCTGACCCCAAGTCTGTGGCTGGTGATGACATTGCTTTGACACTAGCTTTCTGGGCGACTTCAGGCAAGACACATACATACACACCTTGGGCCTCAGTTTCCCCATCTTTTTTATTTATTTATTTATTTATTTTAATTATTTTCTTTATTAATTGTTTTTAGATAGGGAGGAAGGGAGAAGGAGAGAGAGATAGAAACATCGATTGACTACCTCCTGCATGCCCTCCTCTGGGGATCGGGCCCACAACCTGGGCATGTGCCTTGACTGGGAATCGAACCGGTGACCTCTTGGTACATGGGTTGATGCTTAACCACTGAGCCACACTGGCCAGGCCCTATCCTTTTTTTTTTTGAATGTTTTTATTGATTTTTTAGAGAAAAAGAGGAAGGGAGAGAGAGAGAGAAACATCCATGTGAAAGAGAAACACCTATGGGCTGCCTCCTGCATGACCCCTACTGGGGATCAAGCCCACAACCCAGGCATGTGCCCTGACCAGGAATTGAACTGGGACCTCTCAGTCCATGGGACGATGCTCAATCCACTGAGCCACACTGGCCAGGCCTCAGTTTCCCCATCTTTAGAAAAGAGAAGTTGGACCAGATCACTGGTTGGTGATATTTTGGTATGAATGGCCCACTTGGAGAATCCAAGGAGAGCCGCGGCCCCACCCAGGAAGGTGTGGGAACATCACACCCTTTCGCTATGGTTTCGGGGAGTTCATGAGCCTAGGTTAAGAAGCTGGGTCCAAACTGCCCCTGGGGTGGGGCAGGAGCTTGCGCAGAGGGGCTTCCCTCTTGTGGTCACCACTACAAAGCCCTCCCTCCCCAGCATTTCTCAGGCTTGGGAAAGGCCGCGCCGTGTCCTTTAAGTGTCTTACGAGGTAGCTGCCTGTCTATGTACAGACAAACAGGGTCCTAGCGTGGGGATTAGGACCCCACCGCTGGGGCTTTCTCTACCAGGACAGGATCTGTCCCGTCTCTCCCAGGCCTCTCTGTGTCGCTGGCATATACTCAGTCAGCTCTACGTGCCTGTCAGAGCGGGTGCCTCCCAGACCCTGTCTGTGGGTTCTCTGAGCTGTGTCTGGAGCTGGGATATTTCAGGTCTTCCCTTTCTCCCGTCCCGGCTTCCAGCTCTAATAAGTAATCGAGTAACTAACATGGGTTACCATGGATTCCCTGTTCACCCTGTGCCAGGCGTGGAATCCTCCCACCCTTCTCCCATTTTACAGATGAGGAAACTGAGGCTTGGAGAGGTGAAGTACTAGCCCAAGGGTACACCTGCTCACTGGTGGAGAACTGGGACTCGAGCCCAGCCGTCAGCCCCTGAGCTTGGCCTCGGGGTCTGACACTGGATGGCACTGTGATTTCTCACCCCCAGATGAGGTTGTGCTGAAGTTTGAAATGGGCCACGTTCGAGCTCGGAATCTGGCCTACGACACTCTTCCGGTCCTGATTCATGGCAATGGGCCCACCAAGGTAGGGAGGGGCCCAGGCCCTGGGAAGAGTGGGAGGGGGTGGGCTTCTCCTGGGGGCCAGGGCCACCCACCTAGGCCCCGAGAGCTCGAGCTCGTTGGCACTGACCTCAAATCTGAGTTCAGCGTGGAGCCTTCTTTCCTGCTGAGGTGGTTGGTGATACCCTGTTCATCCTGCGGGACCACGGGGCACAAAGGAAGCCCCCATCCAGACCTGGGCTCAGCTGCTCTAAGTCAGCCACACTTTGTCACCCCAGGCAGACTCGATTCTTTTTTTTTTAATATGTTTTTATTGATTTTTAGAGAGAGAGAGAAGGGAGAGAGATAGAAACATCGATGTGAGAGAGAAACATTAATCAGCTGCCTCCTGCATGCAGCCCGGGCCTGTGCCCTGACCTGACTTTGAACTGGGACCTCTCAGTCCATGGGACGATGCTCAGTCCACTGAGCCGGGCCAGACGTGATCCTTCATTTGAGAAACATTTATTGAATGTTTGCACCAGGGCATGAGGCCTAGTCAAGCAGGAACAGGACAGATGGGTCCCCAAGCTCCTGGAGCTACAGACCGGCCCCTGGAGCTCAGACCGGCCCCTGGGGAATTGGCGCTAGTTCACAGCCTGTTTCTCTGAGTGAGGTCCTCACCCATCTGAGTCCCAACGAATCACGTGGAAGGGAGAGGAAGGGCAGCCTGTTAAAAATGCGGATTATCTGGCCCCGCCCAAAAGCTGCCCAATGGGAATCTCGGAGGGGCGGGGCCCGGGAATCTGCATTTTACAAGCTCTCAGCCCATCCTGAGATGAAAAAGCTCCAGAGCGCCAAGCCCTCCCTCTGCTGTCCCTCCGCTGTGGTGACCACGGGGGATGAACACGCTCTCCAAGGCCTGCCCAAAATACAGTCACATTCCTGCTCCCTCGGGTGGCCGATGGCTGTGGTGCCGACCCGCGGGGGGCCCAGGGAGATGTGCCTCAGTGGTTGCAGGTGGATGGGACTGGCTCCTCTCAGACCCCTCGTCCCCACAGCTGCAGCTGAACTACCTGGGCAACTACATCCCGCGCTTCTGGACCTTCGAGACGGGCTGCGCCGTGTGCGAGGAGGGTCTGCGAAGCCTCAAGGGCATCGGGGTAAGGCTGTCAGACGCTGGGAGGGTGGGTGGTTGTGGACGAGACTTGTCCCTGGTGGACGCTAAAGGGATTACCTCCCTGTCTGGGGTTCCATCCTCCTCCTCACCCAAGCACCTCCTCCTGGAAGCCTTCTCAGACTACACGTGGCTCCAGCTCCCCCAGATGCCTGAGTTCCAGTTGTTTCTGCCCGGTCGTTCAGGCTCTCCTGCAGCCCCCCCTCCATCCCGTGAACCCTACACCTCATTTATGGTTCCATTTCAAACCCCACGCCAGCCAAGCTCTCCCAGCAGCCTGTCATCAACTGGTCCTCACTCTGAGTCAGGGTGCACGCTGCTGCTGGTCCCCAGCAAGGGCATCCTCCTGCCTCTGCCCACCGGCACACCCTGCTCCCTGGCCCAGGCCCCTTTCTTGCTAGGTCCTCTGGGTCTGGATCCCACAGGCCACCCGAGGGGCTCAGTGGCGGCACAGTGGCTGGACACTGCTGGACTGTGCTGCCCCCTCCCCGCACAGGATGAAGCTCTGCCTGTAGTCCTGGTCGGCGTGTTCATCGAACAGCCCACGCCGTTCCTGTCCCTGTTCTTCCAGCGGCTCCTGCGCCTCCACTACCCGCAGAAACGGATGCGGCTTTTCATTCACAACCACGTGAGTAGCAGGTGCTTGGTGGGGTTGCCATGTGGCTTGGGTCAAGGGCCCAGCCTCTCAAGGTGTCCTGAGACCTCTAAGGAACTGATGGAACCAGGCTTATCTGGGCCAAATGGACATGGGCAGTGGGCTGTATCCCTACATTACTGGGTTGACTCTGGAGTCAGACTGGCTGGGTTTGAACCCCAGCGCCCCTTCTTATAGTGGCTGTGTGAACTTGGGCATGTTATTCAGCCTCTCTGTGCTTTAGTTTTCTCATCTATCAAATAGGGATAATAATCATGCCGACCACATAGAATTGCCGCGAGGGGTAACCAAGTTGAGGTGTGAAGCAGGTGGAAGGGTGCCGGGCGCGTAGGCAGCACGTAGTAGGTGCTCCTATTATTGTCCTTATCGCTGCTTTCCTCCCAGCCCATCCAGTCCTTCCTAATTTGATCTGATAGTAGGCAAATTGGTCTTCACTCCTTGAGTGTCTTCTGGGGAATCGGGAGGGCCTGGAGGCCTGCTGCTTTGTGGAGAGCAGGCCTGGAATCAGCATTCCTAGTCCCCTTCCTTTCCTGCCTCTCCTCTCAGCCTGTGCTTCTCCAGCATCCCCAACTGGGAGCCCAGGGACGCTCTTCAGATCTTACCTGCTCTCCAGGCTCCTTGTCTTCCCTAAAGTCTTCTCGGCTGCCCCCTCTAGGGTCACTCCTTCCTGAGACCTCTCAGCCCCCACAGCCTGCACCCCACCCTGGGGACCTGGGGCCCCACACTGCTCGGCTCTCTGCCTGTGTCACTGACATTCATCCAGCTGTGCCACATGGAGACAGGAGAAGGATGTAGGCCTGCCCTTGGGAGGCTCCCAGCTTCCCTGGACACATCACATAGCAAACCCGTGAAATGTGACTTTGGATAGAAAAAGACATGTCACAGGCAGTATTTGAGGACCTGCTGTGTGCTCCATCTCACTTGTCCACTCCTTTGTGTGACCCAGTGAGGGAGGCACGCTCACCCTCCATTTTTTTGTTTTTTTGTTTATCCTCACCTGAGGACATTTTTCCATTTTTTGTTCGGATAGAGTGGGAGGGAAAGAGAGAGAGAGAGAAACATTGACTTGAAAGGGACGCATCGAGTGGTTGCCACCCGCACGACCCATCCAGGGCCGGGGACAAACTGCAACCAAAGTACGTGCCCTTAGCGGGAACCAAACTTGGGTCTCTCTGGACCGCAGGCTGATGCTCTAACTGCTGAGCCAAACTGGCCAGGGCTCACCCTCCGTTTTTTATAAGGGAAGAAACTTAAGCTGAGACAGGTAAAGTGACTTGTCCAAGGCCACACAGCTAATTGTAGCAGGGCTGGGCTTCACTCTAAACCCTGGGTTTAGTTTTAAAGATTCATCTCTCTCTGCTTCCCCATGCAAGGGGCCCCAGGTATGGGCTTTTGTTTTTGTTTCTTTTTTTTGAGAGAGAGAGAGAAACATCAATGTGAGGGAGAAACATTGATTGGCTGCCTCCTGCACGCCCCCTACTGGAGATCGAGCCCACAGCCCCAGCATGTGCCCTGACCTGGAATCGAACTGGGACCTCTCAGTCCATGAGCTGAAGCTCAATCCACTGAGCCACACCAGCTCAGCAAGGGCTTTTGTTTTCCAAAGCAAGGTCTAAGCATCACCTGGAGTGTTTTGTAACAAAGCAGATCCCTGGCCTGCACCGCCCCCAGACCAGCAGAATCCACGACTCTGGATGTGGGGCCTGTGGGTTGAAGGTGCTGTCCTGGTGACAGAGGCTCTTAAGAGGCCTGTGGGCCTGGCCTGGCCTGGGGAGGACGGTCAAAGGCTGGTCAGGGAAGGGCACTGCAGGCAGAAGGTCTGGCAGGGGCGAAGGTGTACAGTTAGGAGAGCAGGTGGCCAGGATGTGCCAGCAATGAAGGGGAGCAGCGTGCAGCAGCAGCAGAAAGTGCTGTGGTCCCTGGGCGGGGCCTGTGTCCTCATCCTCCCCCTCCTCCCCAGGAACAACACCACAAGGCTCAGGTGGAGCAGTTCCTGGCCGAGCATGGCGACGAGTACCAGTCTGTGAAACTGGTGGGCCCCGAGGTGCGGGTGGCGAACGCTGATGCCCGGAACATGGGCGCGTGAGTTGGGGGCCTCGGGGACCGTGGTTATCATTGCTGACAGGTGGGCAGAGGGACCATGGTGTCCAGAGCACCAGGCTGGGAGACAGGAGTTCAGAAAGCTGTGTGGTCTCCGGCAGGTTCCTGTCCCTCTCTGGGCTTTAGTGTTTCCACCTGGCAGGTGGAGACTAGTCTCTTAGTGTTTAGGAAGCGAATCGGAGAAAGAGGAAGGACTGGAGGGCTGACAACTAAAGAAACAATCTCTGATTTTTCCCCATTTCTTTTAAAACAAATAAACAAACAAACACAGAAACGAAACAAGTAATTTGGGTTGACTATGGAAGAATTATTCCATCCAGATCCATGGTTGGCAGCCTTCCTATAAGGGACCAGATTGTGAATCTGTGTTAACTGGCTTTGTGGGCTCAGCGCAGCCACTCAACTCTGCTGGAGCGTGAGCGAGCGTGGCTGGGCTCCAGCAGATTTTATTTATGGATGCAGAAGGTTGAATTTCACGCGATTTTCATGCAACTTATTTTGATTCTTTTCCCCAACCAGTTAAAACTGTAAAACCGTTCTTAGCTCACAAACCACATGAAACTAGGCAGTGGGGCTGAGTTTGGACTGTGGACTGGGGTGTACCGAGCCCCAGCCCAGATGAACAAGAGAACAGATTTTAAGGCTTTGGTACAAGTTGCCAGAGGCCCTCCAGGAAGGCAGGGCCAGCCTACCCTGGCCCTGGGCAGGGCCAGGCCTGTCTGTGGGCCATGCTTCCCTGGTACAGGGTTTTCAGGGCGCTCCATACCAGTTGTAAAGCTCTGTGCCTCCATCTTGCAAGTTTGGGTCTTGGAATTGGGAGGGACCTTCGAGGCTGCAGGTCCCACCTGTACCACAGCTGGCCGGACCTCTCCAAGGACCCTTAGCCGGTACCTGGTGAACCCAGTGTGGGCAAGGGTAGAATGTGCAGCTGCAGGGTAGCTCCGCGATCCTGGGTGGGGAGGCTGGCACTGAGCCCGGACCCCACTGACCCTGCATCTCTCCGCCTACAGGGACTTCTGCCGGCAGGACCATGGCTGCACCTACTACTTCAGCGTGGATGCCGACGTGGCCTTGACCGAGCCCAAAATCCTGCGACTGCTGATTGAGCAGAACAAGTGAGGCTGTGGGTGGGGCAGCAAGCAGGCAGGTGGGCCTGCAGAGCAGGGTTCCCCGCCCGGCCTGTGTGATAGGCCTGGGCCCCGGCTGGGCCCTCCCCTGCCTTGGCCTCACCTACTACCCTGAGCTTGCCCCAGGCTGGCATTGTTGTCTTGGTCTAGGATGTTCCCTGCCACAAGCCCTAAGCCACCCACTTCCTACCCTCTGTTCCTGGCTGCCCCGTGGAAGGGAGAAGGTATCAGATGGGCCCTGCTCCAGGAAGGTGCTTCAGGTTGAAAGGCACCTCCACCCTTCCCCCCACCTAGTTAGATCTACCCCAAACTCCCAGTGGGCAGAGGGACCCCTCTGAGGTGCTCCCTTCCTTAGGAACGTCATCGCCCCATTGATGACCCGCCATGGGAGGCTATGGTCGAACTTCTGGGGGGCACTGAGTGCCGATGGCTACTACGCTCGCTCTGAGGACTACGTGGACATCGTGCAGGGGCGGCGTGTGTGAGTACCCGCAGGATGGGGGGACACCCTCATCCGTCTTCCTTCTGGCTTCGCAACACTGCCTTCCCTAGTATTCTTGTCCTTGTCGCCCTCCAATTTCCACTGAACCTGAAGCAAGGAAGACTGCAGTCAGACACACAGAAGGACTTCCCAACAATTATCCTGGGCCCATTGCCCAGGGCATGGGAATCAAATTAACACTATTGTGCCCTTCCCTTAGCCCCTGACCCTTAGTCTACAACCCTCGCCAACGGCCTGTAGCCCCCCTCCATCTTCCTCTCTCTCCCTCAGTGGCGTCTGGAACGTGCCTTACATCTCGAACATCTACCTGATCAAGGGCAGTGCCCTGCGGACTGAGCTGCAACAGACAGACCTGTTCCACCACAGCAAGCTGGACCCTGACATGGCCTTCTGCGCCAACATCCGGCAGCAGGTCAGCCTTGGGGGGCAGTCGGAGGAGGCCCTGTTGACGGGAAGGTGGGCTGCCTTGCCATCTTAGGCCCTGGAGCTTCTGAGGTTCCAGCAGGGCTGCTCAAAGGCTGCCAGGACCTGGTGCGGGCACTTGGTACATGGCATGCGGGCTGGTCCCAGGGTCTGTGGGGATCATTTTAGCAGACCGTTTTCACACTGTCTATTTTATTTATTTATTTATCTACTTTTAATCCTCATTGGAGGATATTCTTCTATTTATCTTCAGATAGAGTGGGAGGGCGGGAAGGAGGAAGAGAAAGAGAAAGAGAGAGGGAGAGAAACATGAACATGAGAGGGACACATCAACAGATTGCCTCCCGCCCGACCCCGACCAGGGCCAGGGACCAACTGCAACCGAGGTGCGTGCCCTTGGCTGGAATCGAACCTGCGACTTATTGGTCTGCAGGCCAGCGCTCTAAGCGCTGAGCCAAACCGGCCAGGGCCATCTATTTTATTTACATTTTCCACAGTGCCTAAAGAAAACTAAACTTTCCACTAAATGTACTCCAAGTAATGTGCCCAAAAGATACCCTTACCCTACCCCCGTGACCCACCCAGTATATTTGGGGGGCTATTTTAAAAAATGTGGCAGCATGTTGATGTTTTCCTCTGTGCTCCAAACTTCAGGATCAGAACACCATCCTTGGGCACATTTGTTCTTTTATTCCCTTCAGTCCTCCGGGAAGCCTTCCCTGATCGCATCCCCAGTGTCAGGTCTAGGCCGGGCGCTGGGGACATGGGTGATCTGTAATCAGTTCCCTGATCTTATGAACTCCACCCTGGTGGGCAGAGGAGGCTGCTGTCATGTCCCTCCAGGGGCCTGCAGGGGAGGGGGAGGGTCTCTTTCATCTGGCCTGTTCTCCCCAGGACGTATTCATGTTCCTGACTAACCGGCACACCTTTGGCCACCTGCTCTCCTTGGACAACTACCAGACCACCCACCTCCACAACGACCTCTGGGAGGTGTTCAGCAACCCTGAGGTGAGGTCCTGAGTGGGTGGGCAGGGAGAGGTGGGAGTGGAAAGGACCTCGTGATCCTGTAGCCTCAGTTGCCTCCCTGTCAGAGCCTGACAAACCCTGGGACCCTGTGGGCCACTGGCCTTCCTCCATCCTAAAGGGGCCTGTGGGGCTGGATTTGGGTTGGGAGAGGAGGGTGTTTTGAGAGGCAGCGCCATCTAGTGGAGGAGGTCCATCAGCTGTGACTTAGTTGAGCCTCTCAACCTTTGGGGCCTCAGTTATCTTAGCTCTAAAATGGGTATACTGTCCCAACCTGACTTGCCCCCGAGAATGTTGTGATGATCAGAAGAGGAGAAAGTTGTGACAGTGTTCCTAGACATTGTGGGCTTGTGGCTGACATGAGCACATGCCTATACCTGCACATAGATCTGTACACACATGCACACATGTATAGACACCTGCAAACATCAGCTTCTGTGGGCACACTTTTGCACTCAAACAAGACAAATGCACCCAGCGGACACAGGCGCAAGCTGGTTCCCCCAGGCATGCACACATTCACTTACACTGTGCGGAGGAACCCCTCTTGGAGCATCCCGTGGAGTTGAGCAAGGGGTGAGTCCCAGCTGGCCCAGGCCAGGCCCGAGGACCCCAGCCCGCTTCCCGCTCCCCACAGGACTGGAAGGAGAAATACATCCATGAGAACTACACCAAGGCGCTGGCGGGGAAGCTGGTGGAGACGGTGAGAACTGGGCATCTCCTGGGATCAAAGCCACTGGATTTATCCCCAACACCTGCTACAGGGACGGAAGACAGAGGAACAAAAGTAGCTGAGCTGGGGGAGGAGGGCAGGCTCCTTTCCGTGCTCTGGCAGTGCCTGGGGCGAGGGAATGGGCAGCAGCCGGCCCTTCCTCCTGCTGGCACTTCAGCTGGAGTCTGCAGGGCCTTGGGGGCCTTGGGCTTCTTCCCTGGCCCAGGCAGGAAAGAGAAGAGAAACATCCCCAAATGTGATCTCAACTGTAGACCTCGGCCCGTGGGCCGGGAGTGAGAAGCGGGTGTTCCTGTTTCCCCCGACAGGCCTCTGCTCCCTTGATGCCCACGCGCGATAGCTCTGGCCTTGGCCCTGGCAGCTCTGTGACCTTGGCCAGCTCTGAGCTCTACTTCCTTCTTCCTTCAGCATCTCACCGAGTCCCAGCTCCCTGGGGACTCTCATGGGGACACGCAGAGGGCTCTCAGACCAGGGTGGGGCAGGGCATGGACCACACAAGCGGTCTTGCCTGCGGGGATTCTGCAGAGGGCCATGGGGCCGGGGGAGGATGAGGTGGTGCCACTCTGGACCCCTGTGACGGAGTCCCCCCCCTCCCCAGCCTTGCCCGGATGTCTACTGGTTCCCCATCTTCACGGAGACGGCCTGTGACGAGCTGGTGGAGGAGATGGAGCATTATGGCCAGTGGTCTCTGGGAGATAACAAGGTGAGACAGGCACCTGGGCTGGGCTGCTGGGAGGCTGCCCCTCCACCCATGCCCGCCTTCTGGGCTCTTTTCCCGGCAAGCTAGCCAATCTCTCTGGGACTCTTTAGAGGGGTGCCGGCAGGCACTTAGGAGTAGGGGGATCGAGAAAGGCCACAGAGCGCTGGTCTCCAAGCTGCCACTGCCGTGGGGTGATTGAGCTGCTGTGATCTTGAGGGGCTAGGTTTCCAGCTCCTGGTTTGTTATTGGTGATGGACACTCCCTTCCCAGATCGGGTCTGGAATGGGGGAGGAAGGAGCAGGTGTGGAGGAGGAAGGATTAGGAAGCGACATCATCATGTGGTGGAAGCAAGTGGCTTCTGCTGAAGGAGGAATCCCATCCCTGCCCTCGCCTTGCAAAGTTCAGGAACCCTTTCTAAAGGCTCATGAGCCCCTGGGCCTGTGTGCCCAGACCGGCCAACTCTGACCTGGCAGCTGACTAATCTGTGATTCTGGTCACCTGCCTAATCCAGTGGCTTTGGTGGCTGACTAGTCTCCGGAACACAGTAACTGGCAGAGTCCAGGCGTTCGGGGGTCTAGCCAGTCCTGTGCTGCAGTGACTGGCTGGCCCTGGAACTCTCGCACCTGAACTAACCTGCGGCCCTCTGCATTGGTTTTCTATGTTGTGTAACAAATTAGCCCCAAGTTTGACAGCTTAAAATGCTCGTTTATTGTCTCCGGGTTTCTGGGTCGGGAGTCTGGGTGTGGGGTAGCTGGGTGTCTGCTCAGGGTCTCACGGGGCTGCAAGCAAGGTGTCAGCTGGGGCGGGTGCTCATCTGAGTCTCTGGGTTCTATGCCAGGCTCCATGGCAGAGTTCACTTCCTCGCAGCTGTAAGTTCACGGTGACTTGCCTCTTCTGGGCCAGCAGGAAGATTCTCTCTCTCCAAGATCCTCCTTTAAAGAGCTCACCCTGATTTGGCTCAGCGGTTAGAGCGTCGGCCCTCAGACCAATGAATCGCGGGTTCGATTCCGGTCAAGGGCACGTACCTCGGCTGTGTTCGTCCCTGGCCCTGGTTGGGTCGTGCGGGAGGCAACCAGTTGATGTGGCTCTATCATGTCGATGTTTCTCTCTGTCTCTCTCTCCCTCCCTCCCACTCTATCTGATAATAAGTAGAAAAATATCCTCAGGTGAGGAATAAAAAACTAAAATAAAAAAGTAAAGAGCTCATCCAGTATCATGTCCCTTTGAATTAAACCAAAGTCAACTGACTAGTCACCTTAATTATACCTGCAAAACCCCTTCACCTTTGCCCTGCAACATAACCTTTTCCCATCAGGGTCAAGGTCAAGGGGAGGGGCTTAGACAGGTGGCAGGAATTGGGACTGTCTTACAGTTTTGCTCACCACGCCCTGGCAGGTTTGGCTCAGTGGTTGGGGCGTTGGCCTGTGGACCAGAGAGTCCCAGGTTTGGTTCCCGCCAAGGGCACGTACCAAAAAAAAAAAAAGAATTCTGCTCACCATGTTCTCCGGGTCACTTCCAGGACAACCGCATCCAGGGCGGTTACGAAAACGTGCCGACCATCGACATTCACATGAACCAGATCAACTTTGAGCGGGAGTGGCACAAGTTTCTGGTGGAGTACATCGCCCCCATGACGGAGAAGCTCTACCCCGGCTACTACACCAGGGTGGGCAGGCCTGGGGTGCAGCCTGGGCCAGGGCGTGGGTGGAGTGGCTGGGGAGGGGCTGGGGAAGGGGAGAGACCCACCCCGCTTGCTGGGACAGGGGCCTGAATGAACATCTGGTCTCCAGGCAGGAGTGAAGTCTCCGCCCATCAGGTGTTGGGGCCAGGGAAGGTGGGGCCACTCTGTCTCTAGCCTCTGACATCACATGACCATTTGAGTCCTTCCTCTGTGTCTTCACCCGTGTCAGTGACGTCTATGCGGGCTCACCAGACAAGCCTCAGCCAGCCAGCCGGCCGGCCAGCCAGCCAGCCAGCCAGCGCGCCTTCTCCCTCGCTTTCCCTTTAGCTCCCTCACCCACGTGTCTGTGGACTGCCTCTTTGGCTTTTGTTCTTCCCTCACTGGGTCTCTTCCTTGTTCACATGGTTTTCTCTGAACACCTGCTCTGGGTGTGCCTGGGCCCCGCCCTCAAGGGATCACCAGCCTGGAGAGTTGCTGGAAAGGGTTGTGAGGATTAGATTCATTCATGCCCCCTTCTTTCCCTTCTCTTCCCTCCCTCCCTTCCCTCCTCTCCTTCCTCTGCTTCCTGCCCTTTCCTTCTCTTCCTTCCCTCCCTTCGGGCCTTCCCTCCCTCCCCACATTTTTATCGAGCACCTTTTCTGTGCCAGGCACTGTTCCAGGCACTGGAGAACACAGGGTTAAATAAACCTGCCCTCAGGGAGCCCACGCTGCAGTGCAGCAGATCGGAGGAGGGGCCCTCCTGCACACCCGCCTTTCCCGACTGACCTGCGCAGCCTCTGACCTGGTTCTCCGTGTCATTTCCCTGGCACAGGCTCAGTTCGACCTCGCCTTCGTGGTCCGCTACAAGCCCGACGAGCAGCCCTCGCTGATGCCACACCACGACGCCTCCACCTTCACCATCAACATCGCCCTGAACAGGGTCGGTGTGGATTACGAGGTGAGCAGGGGCCACCCCAGCCCAGGGAGCAGGCAGGAGGGAGGCTGGCTGGTGAGCAGCGTACCGGGTGTTTGACGCTGAGGCTACGCCAACACCAGAGGACCAGAGAGAAAGGGTGCCGGGTCCTGGGGAGGGCTTCCTGGGAGGAGTGGGCTCAGCACAGTGTGGCAGGAGGACAGAGCTTTAGATCCAGGAGAGCAGGGCCCAGGAGGTTGCAGCCAGATGGCCTGCACCCGGGTCCTGCCCACCTTGCCGTGGGGCCTCAGGCAATCTCTCAGCTTCTCGGCTTCCTTCGATGGGGAAAGTTAAGGGCGCGCTCCGCAGAGCTGTGGTGAGTGAAATGAGCTCATCCAGGCCATTGCTTCCGTGGACCCATAGGAAGTACTCAGGGAATGACAGCTGTTAGTGATAAGGAGTTAGGGTTCCCACCGTTCTTGGAAGAGGTGCTTTGGGAATGGCTAAACCCAGGGTTAGGCTGGGTGTGGGGCACAGGCTTGTGGCTGGAGAGGAAATCTGAGGAAACCAGGAAGACATGAGGGTGAGGACGGAGCCATTCTGGGGCCTCAGGACCCCAAGGGAGGCCGCTGGGTATGATCAGCTGTGGAGCCATTCATTCATCCAAAATCCATCCATTCACTCCATAAGCTACTATTTTTTAAAAATGTTTTCATCGATTTTTTGAGAGAGAGCGGAAGGGAGAGAGAGATAGAAACATCCATCGACTGCCTCCTGCACGCCCCCTACTGGGGATCGAGCCCACAACCCGGGCATGTGCTCTGACTGGGAATCGAACTGGCGACCTCTTGGTGCATGTGTCAATGCTCATCCACTGAGCCACACCGGCTGGGCTTTAAGGAGATTTTGGGGACTCAGTCCTGGGTTAGACACTGTGAAGGACACCCATAAAAGCACCTAAGTTTTTTTGAGGGTTGACAATGTACCAGGATTCTCATAGGGGATGATTTTGTCCCACCGCACCCCCACTCAGAGAACATTGGCAATATTTGAAGACATTTTTGGTTGTCAAAATTATGGAGGTGCTACTAGCATCTAGTGGATAGAGGCCAGGGATGCCTGGACAACCCCTATAAAAAAGAATTCTCTGGCCTGGCCGGTGTGGCTCAGTGGTTGAGTGTTGACCCATGTACCAAGAGGTCACTGGTTCAATTCCCAGTCAGGGCACATGCCCAGGTTGTGGGCCCAATCCCCAGTGGGGGGCATGCAGGAGGCAGCCAATCAGTGTTCTTTCTCATCAATGCATCAATGTTTCTATTTCTCTTGCCTTCTCCCTCTCTCTCCAAAAAAAAAAATCAATTTAAAAAAAAAAAAAAGAAAAGAAAGAATTCTCTGGCCCATAGTGGTGATGCTGTATAATAGTATGACCAGGAATCAAACCTGTGACCCTTCGGTCCATGGACAGACGCTCTAACCACTGAGCCAAACCAGCCAGGGTGGTGTGAATGTACTTAATGCCACTGAACTGTTCACTTAGAAATGGCTGCGATAGTAAAGTTTAGGTTATGTGTATCTTACCATAATTTAAAAAAAAAAGAATTACCTGGCTCAAAATGTCCCTTTTGCTGAGGATGAGAAACCGGGCCCTGAGCTCTTACTTGTATCATCTCATTGAACTCTCACAACCTTTGCAGTTTAACGCCGGTTTTCCAGAAGGCTCAGAGTGGTCCCAAAGTTAGCCAGGGGTGTGGCCCCCACTTGCCCAGGTCTTTAGTGAGTGACTTCCTTGAGCAGCCTATGACCGTCACTGCACAAGGCATCCCAGGCGGGCCGTGCCTCAGATGGGAGAATAGGGGACCGTGGGGGACGGACCCAGCTTCCTGTTGGGAAACTGATAACTTCCTGCTGCGAGACTGACGCTTCCTGTCTCCCAGGGCGGGGGCTGCCGGTTCCTGCGCTACAACTGCTCCGTCCGAGCCCCGCGGAAGGGCTGGACCCTCATGCACCCCGGGAGACTCACCCACTACCACGAGGGGCTCCCCACCACCAAGGGCACCCGCTACATCGCAGTCTCCTTCGTCGATCCCTAACGGGCCAGGCCCAGCCACCTCGGACCGTTTCCTCTCTGCCAACAACCACTGTCCAGCAGCCTCTGGGGCCTCGGGGTCCCAGGGAACCTGGTCTGGCCTCCGGGTTCTTGACTTCCCATTGTTCTCGGAGCTGCCCTGGGAGAGACTGGGCTGCAGGCCAGAGGTGGGAACACCTCAGCGGGGCCTTTCCCGGGATTCAGGAGCCAGCCCGGGACAGGCTGTTCACTTTCACTGTTGTACCAGCTCATCCCTTCCTACTTGTCTCCCTGAAAATCCCAGCCCCCCTCCTCCATTTCTTCAATCAGTGACACTTGAGCAGAACAGGGGCTTACCCAGCTGCCCAGAGAGACTTTGGGGGCGTGGAGAGACACCCCAGAGCTTCTCCCAGGAAAGCGGCAGCCCCGGGGCCTCCAGCTTCAAGCTTCAGGGTGGACACAGAGACCTGGATCAGACAAGTCCTCACTCTGACTCTGGGGCTGCTGAAGCCCCTTCTTTCTTGGCTCCTGCAATGGGAGCAAAACGTCGAGCCCTGGAGACGACTCAGCAAGCCTCCTGGAAGACGGGAAAGGCATGGACGCCACGCTCCCTCCTCTACTTGACCTTGCTGGGGGGCAAGGGGTGATATGTCCACACACTGCACTGCGTCACCCTGTCCCGGGTGTCTCTGGAGAGAGGGACAGACAGAAACAGGAGCGTTTCTATTAAAAGTCATTCACACCACTGAGTGGGAGACGCCTGGTGGTGAGTGTGCGTGTCAGGGTGAGTGACTGCCAAGGAGAGGTTTCAGGAGCCCAGGACTGGCAAGAAAGGCTGTCAGGAGACTCAGGTCTGTTTCCCAAACAAGCAGGGACCTTGGTGTCATTTGTTTATCCTGCAAGCCCCTATGTTCAGTGAGCCAGGCACCGGCTGCCTGGGGCACGCTTCTCCCTCTGTCACCATGGGCATCAGGTGTCAGCTCCTCTCTGAACCTTCGCTGACCCCTTCCTGCACGCACGAATACGGGGAACAGAGAACTTCCAAACTGCTGGTGGCTCCTGCCGTAGTCTGAAGGACTCTTCTTGGGGCACTATCAACCCGGGGCATTTATCAGTAACGAAAGCTGGCATCTGTCCATCCCTTGCTGTGGGCTGGGCATTGCGTTGGGCATTGCCGCCGGGGCGGAGCTGTCGTTTCCTTTTCCTAGAGGAGGAAATGTAGGCTCAGAGAGGCCAGGTCCTTGGCTTAAGGTCTCCGGTAAGTGGTAGGGACGGGGATTTGAATATGATCTCAGCAGGAATCTGGTCCCTGCCCCCAGGCACCAGCAATCCGGGCAGAAAGAACCAAGTGCAGTTCTCTGTGGACCGTGTGATAAATCCCACACAGTGGTCAGAACTGCTGTGGGGAGCAGGACAGACTGGTGGCTTGTGTCAACACAGTGCTTCTCAACTAGGGGTGATTTGCCCCCCCCCCCCAGGGGACATTTGGCCATGTCTGAAGGCCTTTTTGGTTTTACTGCCAGGAAGGGGGAGAAATGCTACTGTACTAGTAAGCAGAGGCCAGGGATGCCTCTAAACATCCTACAATGCACAGGACAGCTCCTCCCTCCAACAAAGGCCCAAATCCCAGTAGTGCTGAGACGGAAGCCCGACAGCAGATGCCATTTCAGCAGGCCTTGGATGGGGAGGTTTCTGTTAGGCCGACTCTCCAGGTCAGGCTGCCGGAGCCAGCCAGGCACAGAGGGTGGAAGGGGTCAGATTGTCAAAGACCATTTCCCCAGGCTAAGGAGAGGCATACTTTATGTAGGAGGCGGTGGACTCCAGTATTTCACTGGAGTCATTTGGTCCATGGTAAATTCAAAGAGCACAAATCTTAATCATTTTCTCATCTCTCACCCCTGACTGCCCAGTTCTTCCCGGAAGCAGCCATGCCTAATGTTTCTCGGGTGTCCATTCTGAGCTGATCTGTGCATATTTAGGGGTGTGTGTGTGTGTGTGTGTGTGTGTATGTGTGTGTGTTAGGGGTATTTTTAACTTTTTCTGATTACAAAGGTAATTCCACTCCACCATGAAAAAGTCCAAAATAGCCGTGGCCAGTTTGGCTCAGCGGTTAGAGCCATCGACCTGTGGACCAAAGGGTCCCGGGTTCGATTCCAGCCAAGGTCACATACCTCGGTTGTGGTTCGTCCCCACCCCGGTTGGGGTCGTGCAGGTGACAACCACTCGATGTGTCTCTCTCATGTCGATGTTTCTCTCCCTCTGTCTCTCTCCCTCCCACTCTGAAGATAAATATAAAAATATCCTCAAGTGAGGATTAAAAAAAAAGTCCAAAATAGAAATAGGAAACGTAGAGGAGAAAGGTCTGCAAGTGCATGCTACCCCTGTCCTGCACCCCTCCCCAGTAACACTGGCAGCCAAACTGGGACAGTCTTGCCACTGAGGGCCTCCCAGCTTGAAGCTGTTTCAGAGGAACACCCAGGGTGCAGGGTGGAGGCCAGAGAGGAGGTTGGGGACGGAGTCTGAGGCTCCTGCAGCAATCCAGACAGGTGACCAGGGCTGAGGCCAGAGTTTGCAGGGGGGACTGGACAGGACACATGTTCAGGAAGGAGGACCTCCTGGCCTCCACCGGCCTTGGGCAGGATTGCGGAAGAGGGAAAGGAAATGGAATTCGGTTCCTGCCCTTCCAGAATGGACCATCTCCTTGGGGAGGCCAGGGAGCTTGGAGGAGGAGGCCGTCGGGCTCTACAAGGTGGCATGTTCCAGGCCTGATGTGAATCACGCCCCAGAGGCCTGGCCACACCCTGAGGCAGCGTCTGGTTGCAGCCCCAAGGTCCAGAGTCTGACTCAGCACCGACAACTGGCTCACTCCAGGCGGTAGGTTGGGACAGCTTCCTCTGACCAACCTCACGGGAAACTGATAGCTGGTAGATCCAGCAGGTACCAGTTTGCTTCCTGTGCTATTTGTGGCAAGATTCTTCCAGGGTTACAGACCAGTGCTGTCCAGCAGAAGAGAAAACAATGGTTTTCCTTTATGCTCCACGCAGTACTCCCCTTCTGAAACTCCTGATCACCAAATGGGTGGGGTAGCCCTCACACCAATAATTCTCCAGTTCTCAGCAGATGCGGAAAGGGTGTCCTCCAAATTTAACTCAATTCGGACACTATCTATCTGGAGATAGCAAGTTAAGGGCTCAGTCCCAGGCGACAGCCCCTGCCCCCATTCAAATGCTAATAACAAATCCAGGTTGTCACTTGTGCTGCTGGCCCATGAGAGGAAGCAGCTTGCCACCCAAAATACCTCTTTTGGGATACTGATTATTTTAAGTGGGTGAATAAACAAAAGATCAGAAAGAACCGTTGACCTTTCCCCTAACCTGCTAACTAAAAGACTTTAGCCTGGCCCAGTAGGTCAGTTGGTTAGAGCATCATCCAAGATATGCCAACGTTGGGGGTCTGATCCCCCCGTCAGGGCACATACAAGGCTTCAACTAATGAATGTATAAATAAGTGGAACAACGAACTGATGCTTCTCTTTTTCTTCCTCTCTAAAAAAAATAAATAAATAAATAAAAAAAGAATTTAGATGGAAGAGCTGCGCCAGGAAGGGAGCATTTTCGTCAATAACTAGAGTTTAATGTGAAATGGGTGTGATAGGGAGGAACCTAGCAAAGTTAAGGGCCCTCTCTGTGTCACATTGTTAAAGATGACGAAGCAAACATTTACTTACCAAACACTTCCTATTTCCACTTGAATTGCCTTCCTGCCCTTTGAAGTCCTAAATGACACCTCCTACCCTTCTCCTTAGCTCACGATAGCATACAAGCCTTAATTGTCCCATCTGTTCTGGGGCTCTCATATTCTTATGGAACCCATGTATGTACATATGTAATAACTTTGGTCGTTTTTCTCCTATAAATGTTTGATTACTAGTCCAGCCAGAGGAACGTAGAAGAGTAGGAGGAAAAATTTATATTTCCCCACACTGACCAGTTATAAATCAGAGATTCCCATGACCCCCTCCTCAGTGTTGTAGACCAACGAGACAGACCAGACTCAGACTCCGAACAGGGCGACGGTCCCATCAGAGGAGAGAGCAGCCCGGAGCTCAGGGGGTGGGTTGCTTATATAGTTGTCTTAGCCCCTTAAGGAATTTGGGTTAAGGGTATGCAAGCAAGCAAGCACATACAGAAGCAGATATTTGCAGTTAGCTGTTATGCCTGAGGGAACAATCAGTTTCTGTGTACACAAAGCAATGGTTATCTATACCATGCAGTGGTTATCTATTAGCAGATAGTTCTTGCCATTCCCTTAAAATCCAGGGGGCAAGGTCATGTGTTTGTCCTTTACATCAGGTTCGATTAGTTTTCTAGAGTGGCTCATGGAACTGATTACCAGTTTATTATAAAAGGATACACTTTAGGAATAGCCAAATGGGAGAGATGCATAGGGCAAGGTATGTGGGAAGGGAGTTTCCATATCCTATCCAAATGTACCACCCTCCCAGCACCTCCAAGGGTTTGCCAACTTGGAGGCTCTCTGAACCCCATAATTCAAGGATTTTTATGGAGGCTTCATTACCGAGGCAGGATTGATTAAATTATTGGCCATTAGTGATCAAGTCAATGGCCAGCTCCTCTCTGCTCCCAGGAGGCTGAGGGAGTAGTGAGACTGAAAGTTCCAACCCTCTAATCACATCACTGGTTCCCTTGACAACCAGCTCCCATCCTTAGAAGCTTTCCAGAAGTCACTCATTAACATCAACTCAGATATGGTTGAAAGGGGCTTGTTGCCAGTAAGGAAAGGCACCACTTTCACTTTTATCTGAATAGCCCTGGAGCTATTCCAGGAACTGAGGACAAAAGTAAATATAACAAGAACTGCCCCTATGGTTCTTAAACAGAAAATTTTAAGGATTTCATGAACTATGTGCCAGGTACAGTGGACAAAGACCAAATATATATTTCCCATTATAAGCCACAATATCACAGCAAGCCACTTATGTAAAATTAGGTTTTTTTGTAGCCACATTTTAAACAGTAAAAAGAAACAGGTGAACTTAGTTTTAGTAATATATTTTATTTAAGTCAATTTATCCAAAATGTTATCATTTTATTATCATTATATTATCATTTTAGTCTACATGAGAAACGTCCAATCCTGTAGATAATTTTTTTAGAGTATTTGAACCAAACTGAAGACATGTCAGGAGCAAGACCTCAAATGCTCCAGAGAATCAGTTTGGCAGCTTCTTTTATGCATTGGACATTAAGGAGGGAATGTAAGGAAGATAATGTGCAAGTGGGAGGAAGCAATTTGGGAATGGGATAACAGAATAATTAAGTTTATGACTGAGGAATCTGAAAGGGCATTTCAAAAGTGTGTTGACCTAGATGAATAGAAACAATGGACAGGGCTTGCTTAAGGCAAAGATAAGTCTTTTAGTAAAGAAGTTGTATGCCTGGGGTGTGACTACCCACTATGACCAGCCCAGTTAGGAATTTATGCTCAGATCACCTGGCGAAGTTACTTTCTATAAAACCCCCTTTTAACAACTTTAACACGTAAGCAATATAAAAATATTAATGAGATCGTTCACACACTTTTTTGGTACTAAGTCTTACAGCACATCTCAACGCACACGAGGGGCTGGGAGGCCATATGTGACTGGTGGCTGCCATACTGGGGAGCCCAGGCCTTGAACCTTCCCTTCTGTGACTGAGGCCATCAGGAGACCAGTTTATTGCTGTATCCTAGTGCCTGGCACATAATGAGGCCCAGTGATCTGCCATATGTGAGCTGGGACTGAGACTCCTGGAACTGTTGTAAAGGTTAAATAAAATGGGGTATGTTAAGTACCAGCTCAATGACTGTTGTTACTGTTCTTACTTCTCAAAGTCAATTGAAGGGCAGCAGGCCCCACTGGCTTCCTGTTTTTCTCTTGAGAGCCCTTCTCTAAAATTACAAAACGAAAGCTTAGGTTCCAGAGCTAGCAGTGGCCTTGGGATGAGGCTCTGGGCCACCAAACGAAAGAGCGGGAACCTTTAATCCACGCCCTTGTTTTCTTTGCCCCTTGACAGCTGGAGGCCCCGCCCATCCAGCCTCCTGGCGGAACTACAGCCCCCATGAGGCAGCGGGAGTCCCGAGGCTTACGTCATCGGCTTGGGACGCCGGGGCGGTGAAGCAGCCGGCAGAGATGCCTCCCAGGCGCTGAGCAGGCGCACCCCTGACCCATAAAGAGTGGTAGGGTCCAGCCAGCGGAGCTCCGAGTCCAACGACTCACCCAAGCCAGAGCGGCAAACCTGCGGCGGCAGGTGACGCGCGCGTCCTTCCTCCTCCTCCCGCCTCTCCTGGGGCTGGCGCTTGCTGGTGACGTTAGCGCCATGATGGCCGCCGTGAGGCCGGGAAGGTGAAGGTGAGAGGGCGAGCGCGCCGGGGCGGTGGGAACGGGCTCGGCCCAGCCCGGCGAGTCCTGAGCAGCCCGGCGAGGGATGCCGGGGGCTCTCAGATGGGATGTGGGGACCCTGAGGTTCCGGGTCCGGGCGGGCAGGCGTCCGCACGCTCCAGCCTCGCCGCCCGGCCCTCGGCCCTAAGAAGAGGGGGGCGGGACTCGGGGTGGGGTCTCCTGAGGCTCCTCGTCGCCCCCGCCTTTCCAAGCTCTTGGCCACATTCACTCCCCTGCCCTTTATACATTTCTTAGCCTTTACCATAGCCAGCTTTACTCAGCCCGCTGGCCTCCCCTACTTTGGACACTTTCGTACGGTTGTCTGTTTGGTTGTCTCTTTACCTGTTTGACGTCAAACTGGACAGTAAGCACCTGGAGGGCAGGGACTGTCTTTTTACCCATCCTTCACTCCAGGCCTAGCGCTCGCAAAGAGGGCCCGCAGAAAATGCCGAATATTAGCTGTTTGGGTGCAGGAAGCCAAAAACTGCTCATTCCCCTCACTTGTAAATCCTTCATTGCCCTCTTTCTTTAACTTCTCTATCTTCTCTCTTCCCCTCCTCCCAGAAAGGGCTCTGCTTATTGCCTTTCTCACATAATTGAAAACAGGTGAGTCAGTGGGCGGTGGTATCTCAGTCCTCAGCTTCGCCACTTAACTGGCAGCCTTTGAACCTTTTAAGTATTCTGTTTGCCCCGTAGATTGAGCATTAGACATTCTACAGCATGTGGCACACGGAGGCTTTCACCAAGTTCCACTTCTCTTCCTGATCCCTACCCTTCTGTCTCTGGTCCTCAGTTCCCCAGCCCTCAAGCCCAGTCCTTGTCTTGGTTCTGCTCCCTCCTCTTCTCTCCCCTCTCTGGATCTGCCTCCACCAGAGCCCTTCCCTCTCGCCAGCACATGGCTCTCAGTCACATGACTGGATGTGTGTTTGTGCACACCCATGACTGTCCCCACACCTGTGTGTTGTGTTTTTCCGCAGGGCACTTCACATATCACCCCATACCTCAATGAGTAAGCCTCCCTCAGGGATGACTTTGTTTAGCTTTATACTTGATTAGACATGTTTTGCACAGCAGTTTTCGTTTTGTTTCTTTTGCTGTCGGTTGACATGTCCTATTTTCTTTCCAAAGTTGGAATTGGTGGAGTTAACACAATCAGTAGCCAACCTCCATCTGAGACAGGACAGAGGAGAACTGGGATACTTTCTGGCTTTCTGACTCAGCCATGTCCATGATGCCCACCCGGTGAAAGTCTTGCACCATCCAAAAAGTAAGTGGTGGCTGTGACAACTGGTACTCTGGATCTGGGTTGAGTGGAATGGGGTGTGCTCTGCAAGTCTCTTGGATGGGGTCATCTTTGCAAAGAGCTGGAGTTTGTCATCGTGTGTTGAAAAACTAACTCCTTTCTATTTCCATGGAGGATTTCACTGTTTGCTGAGCGAACCTGTTTAAAGGTTGACAGTTCAGAAGTAGCTGGGCTCTCTGAAGAATTCGTCTTCCTTGTTTTTTCTCTGCTGTGCTGGCTCCACCCTCCTCCTGCTCTCTGCCTAGCAGAGGTTGGCTCCTTATCGTAGCTCTTCCAAGAGTTAGCTCTGTCCCCTTTACCCTGTATACTCTTTTGTTTCAATTTCTCAGCTTCTCCTCTGTTCCAGTTGTGCGAGCAGACGACCTGTGGATCCATTTTTTTTTCCCTGCTAGGAGCTGCTGCACATAAATCTGGGTAAGGAGGTGCTGTGGATCCAGGGACTGTGCTTGGCTCCAAACACCTTGCAGTGAATTTTGCTACTGCTTTCCCTACACCCAAGACGCCTAATACTTCTCTACTAACGACCTAAGTTGAGGCAGAGCTTTTGATAGCTAATGGTTTTGTTTGGTGCTAATAGTTTTGGTTTAGTATTGGATTTGGTTCTGGTCTTTGGTTCTGATCTTAGGTTGATATTCATAGCAATCTGTTTTTTTTTATTGATTTGAGAGAGAGCCAGGGAGAGGCAGAGAGAGAGAAACATTGATGTGAGAGGGGCACATTGATCGGTTACCTCCCATATGCACCCTGACTGGGGATCAAACCCGGAACCTGGGTGTGTGCCCTGACTGAGAATTGAACTCACCACCTTTCAGTGTATGGGACAGTGCTCCAGCCAACTGAGCCACGGCCAGGACAGTAACAATCTGTTAATATTGTTCCCCCAGCAGTTCCTTGCGTAGGGAAAGGGGAGACTACCAGGGTGAAAGAGGCTTTTCCCAAAGTGTAATCCTCAGGATTTTAAAAACTGTTACATGGAAGGAGGTTTCTTCAGGTAAATGTGGGGAAGGCTGCATCAAGTACAGTTAAACTCGTGTCTTTATAACAGGCCTTGCTTCCTCAAGCCTTGGCTGGCTCATGTGCTCCGGTGGAGGGGTCTGAAGCATACAGCGTGGTGCAGCTGACTCTTCATGGCACGTTGGGTGCACTAGAGTGCTGTGTACTGCACTTTGGGAAAAGTTTTCCTAAACTATCTGAAACCATGACCTTGAGAATACTTTGCAGCAGTCAAAACATCTTTAAGCGTAGTGTATAGTGTATAGCTGACACTGGAGCGGACTCTGGCCCCGCTGTGCCTGGAGGACAGGCCCCACATGCCTGCGGTGAGCCCTGTGGTGAAGTGGGGACTATCAGGACTTTCCAGAACAACAGGAACCGAGCCGCCTCCCACCACTCTGGAAGGCTAGGAAGCCAGCGGGCGAAGCCCCGAGATAGTAGGGGCCCTATCTCGACTTGTGTGCATATATTTTGCAACTTTGGTTTGTTTGTGCACCTCTGCATGTCCAGCTTGCTGTTTGGAATGGTTAAATCCTGGAATTTGAAAGGATTGTTCAGCTCTTGCTTCACTGAGCCCCAAATACTAACAAATAGATGCTCAGTCAAAAGCTGCTTTTTAAGGAAAAAGTAGATTGGGGTGTTCCAGGGATGGAAGGGTAAGAAGGTATTCCCCATAAGAGGCATTCAGTAACTCAGACCGTGTCTCACAGTTGTGGAGGAAAGTAGAATGGAAACAGGTCACTGCTCTGTGTCAGAAACTGGCTTTATAGAAGCTCAAGACTAGACAGGGAGACAGTGCTGTAATAAACCAAAACGTCTGGTAAGGTGGTATATCCTCCATGGGAGATGTCAGGGAAGGCTTCATGGAGGGGGTGACACTGGAGTTGGGTCTAGAAGGACAGTAGGAGTCAGTGGAAAAGGAACGAGGATTTCAGGCTGAAAGCAGAATGTGTAGCACAAACATGGAATCTCAGAGCCAGAGAAATCAGTTTGGGGGGGTTGGAGGTTCCACGTGAGAGTTTCCACATATGGGGCATGGGCGTGCAGCTGCAGGCTGGGGGATGGTGAGAACAGGTCAGTTCCTGGACAAGCTGAAATCCCAGGAGACCTCAACTTCGAACCACTCAACTTTTACTAGCGTGAATGCCTTTGAACACTTCACACTTTTGGTTTCATATCCATTGGGGTTGCAAACAGTGACCAGAACTTTAAAGCACTTGCTTCTCGTCGGCCTGCGGTACAGAGAGACTCGGGTTCGGTTCCCGCTAAGGGCACGTACCTCGGTTGCAGTTTGTCCCCGGCCCTGGTTGGTCGTGCGGGTGGCAGCCACTCGATGTGTCCCTTCACATCGATGTTTCTCTCTCTCTCTCTTCCTCTCTCTCCCTCCCGCTCTATCTGAACAAAAAATGGAAAAATGTCCTCGGGTGAGGATAAAAAAATAATAATAATAATAAAGCATTTGCTTCTAAAAGCCCAGCTGGTCTCAGGGAACTTGCTGCCTGCAAGCAAGTCACTTTTGGGGCTGAACACTAGTGACCTCGCCCCTGAGCAAGCCTGTTGACTCTGTCCTCATGGCAGCAGGTGGGGGAGCTGTGGGTGTATTCTGGGAGTCATCCACCCTTCCCTGAAGGCTGGGCGTTGTGATCTTGCTGGTGGAGTTTGTTCCTGTTGCTTTATAACATGTAAAACTATCTTAAGTTTTTTCTTTTTTAATCCTCACCGGAGGATATTTTTCCAAATATCTTCAGATGGAGGGGGTGGGGGATGAGAGAGAGAGAGAAAGAGAAACATCAATGTGAGAGAGACCCATAGTTTGGCTGCCTCCCACAGGACCCTGGCCAGGGCCCTGTAAAGCTATCTTAAAGCTACCTTCATCCTTCCTAGTCTTCTCAGTCTGTGGTATCATGCTTGTCGTACCCGTGAAGAATCCAGGGCTCTGAGGTTATATAATGTGCTCAAGTTTATATAGCCCAGAATCAGACCAAGCATTTGAACCCAGTTGCTGTTCTAGAGTCTGTCATCTACAACGCTGCATCACGCCCACCTCAGATCCCGTTCCTCTTGCTTGTGTGCATTCCTGTTTCTCGGACCGTTGGGACTGGGCCACAGCAAGCCTGCTGTCAGTGTGCTCTCCTTTCTTCCTTCGGAGGAGCCGGTGGTGTTTCTTCCCAGTGTCCCTTCTCGGACTTCTGCTGTCTCTTATTTAAGCCCTTGACATGTGCCTCCGTGCTAAGCAGTTCTCTCCCATAGCTGAGGAGGAAGGTAGAAATGGACATACAGTCACTTTTATCTCCCCGGAGACCATTAACAGTGCAAAATATTTGTAGCTCTAGGCAAAGCATGTGGGTTCCCATTTCCCTGTGGTTCTGCCCGTCTTTCTGCCCACTCTTTGGGATGGTTAGTTCCTAAGAACTAGTTCTCAGTTATTATGCTAAATATACTTTTTATAGACATTCTTTCTGCTTCTCAGTAATTTACTCAACATCCTTTGGCACCCTTTGGAGGTTTCTCATATATGCTTACTCATGAGCAGTGCCTTCTCCTTTCCCAGATAGAGCGAGCGAGTGCTTGGTCTGGGTGATCAGGGCTGCTGGAGAGGGAGGGTGGACAGGAATGTGCCAGGTGTTGGGATGGGTAGAGCCAGACGTACCCACACAGCTGCGCACGACAACTCATCCTTGGAGGAGCATTTTTCCTTCGACTTCCCAGGGTCTGACGGCTCTGCTGGTGTAGTACCTCTGTGTAGTGGGATCTCTGAGGAGCAGTCTACTTTTGGGACCAGAGATTCCCAACCACATCTGGGTGCCACCTTCTCTGGTCTTTCTGCCCCTTTTGACCTTAGCCAAAGATCTCTAGGAGTTTGGAGTCAGGTCTCGCGGCCCCTAATACATCATTGTTGTCTGGAAAGAAATGGCGCTGAGGATCAGGTGTGATTGAGTGAGAGCAGGAGCACTACCCACACAGGCTGTGCTGATGAATGTTGACAGTGCTTATCGTGGTGGTGTCCACGTAAGAACTTCCAAACCTATAGAGATGTTTTACGAGTTTATTAGAGCCAAACTAAGGACATGCCCGGAAGCGAGACTGAGAAAATGCTGCTTGAGAAATGCTATGGACAACGGCAGTTTTGCAGTTCTTCTCATGCATTTGCAGTAAAGGAGGGAACGGGGAATGATGCACGCAACCCACTGGCAGTAGACCAGGGGGCGGGGAAAGCAGAGCCGGATGCCCTGACTGGGTACGAAGTAAAGCGGAGAGAGGCATACTTCTTTACACTGGTGGGTACAGAGTAGTTAACGTGCAACATTTACAGGAAGTAGAGAGGGTATTGGGACACGATAGTGCTGCCATGAGGGTGGTCACTCCTCTGAGGAGTCTGAAAGAGGATTACTCTGGCATTAACAAGGGTAAAGCAAAGATTAATCTTTTACTTAGGAAGTTATAGGCCTGAGGTGTGGCTGCCCACCATGACCTGCCCAGTTAGGAATTTGTCCTCAGGTCATCCTGTGAGGTGGTTTTCGGCCCCTGAGCTTGTCAGTTACTGCATAGCCCCTCTTTTATTCGCAGTGGGGTTGTGGTTTTTACCTTTAGTTTCCACATTCTCCACTGTGCACACGCTGATAATGAGGGAGACCAGTAAATGTCACCCAAGGATATTTTTCCATTGATTTTTAAATATGTTTTTACTGATTTTTTAGAGAGGGAGGAACAGAGAGAGAGAGATAAACATCGATGTGAGAGAGAAACATCAATTGGCTGCCTCCTGCACGTTCCCTACTGGGGATTGAGCCCGCAACCCAGGCATGTCCCCTGACCGGGAATCAAACTGGGACCTCACAATCTATGGGGCGATGTTTAATCCACTGAGCCACACCGGCCGGGCTCCACTGATTTTTAGATAGAGTGGAAGGGAGGGAGGTGGATGAGAGAGAGGACACATCAATTGGTTGCCTCCCACAAGACCCCCACTTGGGCCGGGGACTGAACCTGCAACTGAGGTATGTGCCCTTGATCAGGGATAGAGCCCACGACTCTTCCATGTGCAAGCCGTGTGCAGACCACTGAGCAAAGCTGGCCAGGGCCAGTAAATGTTTTTAAGTAAATTATAGACCTCTCCCTTGAGAATTATCCTTCCTTGTGTCCCCCACGGCCCCCCAAAAACAGAAACAAAATCTGTTAGAAAGTAGGGCCCTCAGAAGCTGGACGGCCCCGTGGCCAGGGGAGAGCTGTGGGGGTCACTGACCTTGAGCATCGCTTTGGCGCAGGTGTGCGGCGTGTAGGGAGTAGGGAGATCTGGGCCGTGCATTTCTGCCTGAGACACACAGGGGCGCTTCTGTGTGGTCACCTCTCGCTTCCTCCCCATCTCTCTGAGGTGGGCAGGGCAGGGCCGGTCACTGTTGGACAAGCAAAGATCAGCCAGTGCTAGGCTGGAACTCGGGGCCTGACTCCAGGGTTTGAGTGTCCATGCTGTGTGACCGGGAGCCTGGCCCTCGTGTCCTGAGAGGTCCTTTTCTACTCTTGAGATGCGGCTCGTGCTCCACCGGCCCTGCTGTGGTCCTGGAGGGCCGTGTTCTCAGTGGATCCTGCTGCTGGTCTCAGTTTCCCCTGCAGCACCCTGCCATACTCCTAGCAGAACACCCTGAGTTGGGGGTTCCTGGGTTCACTCACATTGTCTTCTCTTACAGCGCGATGTCCCTGTTCTTCTCTCGATGCAACTCCATTGTCACAGTCAAGAAGGATAAGAGACACATGGCTGAGGTGAATGCTTCCCCACTCAAGCACTTTGTCACTGCCAAGAAGAAGATCAATGGCATTTTTGAGCAGCTGGGGGCCTACATCCAAGAGAGTGCCACCTTCCTCGAAGGTGAGATAGGCAACCTGCTGGGCCAGGCCTGCTCCTGTCAGTTTTGATATTTAGGTGGCAGGATTTTGGGGTGGGCAGGAATAGCCCTGCTCTTGGGGAGCTCACACTGAGACGCATCAGCGGTACTCTGCTCAGAATCAGTGGAGTTGGGCTCCAGGGAGGTTGGTCAGGAAAACAAGGGACCTGTCATTTAAGAATTCTATGTAGTCTGGCCAGTGTGTCTCAGTGGTTGAGTGTCAACCTATGCACCAAAAGGTCACCAGTTTGATTCCCAGTCAGGACACATGCTTAGGTTGTGGGCCCGATCGCCAGTGGGGACATGCAGGAGGCAGCCAGTCGATGTTCTCTCTCATCGATGTTTCTATCTCCCTCTCCCTCCCTCTCTGTCTAAAATCAAAAAAGGGAAAAATAATTAAAAAAAAAAAGAATTTTATGTATACTGTTTTATTTATTTAATATGTTTTTATTGATATTTTGTTTTAGAGGAATGGGGGAGAGAGAGAGAGACATCGATCGGCTGCTTCCTGCATGCCCCCTACTAGGGATCGAGCTCACAACCCGGGCATGTGCCCTGACCGGGCATCGAACCGCGACCTCTCTGTCCACGGGATGATGCTCAATCCACTGAGCCACACTGGCCAGGCTGTGTACCGTTTCATTTAATCATGAGGAGTAGGCAAATCATACATACCCCATGTAAAACACAAGCAGATTGAAGTTTGAGAGTTGTGTGATACTTTGTAAGTGACACTTGGGGGCTTTACTCGGGTGTCTCTGACTCCAAAGCGCAGGGGTTTTCTTGGGTCCAGTTCTGGCTGCCATTGATACTGGGCTCTTTCTGGGTGTTGTTTGTTTCTGACCAGGGCGTGCTGTCTGATATTTTTAGACAACTGGACTATGAATAGGAAACTTGCGTCACTGGCACCTTTTTCATTAGTCACTAATTTGAGCCCCACCTGTAGTCCCTGCTCTCTATCAGCAGAGGCGGAGTGATTCCCAGGGTCCCTCTCAGTCTGTGCGCCCCTCCAGCCACTGACTTCCTCAGGCTCCCTCCAGAAAGCACACCCTGCCTCCAGGTCTTGGGTTACCACTGAAGACCCAGTTGCTGAGTCTTATCTGCCCTTGGTCTCCTCACTTATGAAAGCAGGGCTCAGGTGAGACCAGGGTTTTCAGATCCTGGTCTGTAGAGCCCTAGAAGTTCAGTGGAAATGCCCCGGGGACATACTTCTCTCCACTCCGTTTTCCACTAGATGCTGGGCTTCATGTCAGACTGTTACTTAAAGGAAACATGTCCAGTACTATGGTCTGAATGTTTGTGTACCCCCAAATTCACGTTGGAATCCTAAGGCCCATGTGATGGTGTTAGGAGGTGGGGGCCTTTGGGAGGTGATCAGATCATGAAGGTGGAGCCCTGCCCTCATGAATGAAATTTGTGCTCTCGTAAAAGAGACCTCACCAGGTAAGGACACAGAGAGAAGTCTGCGGAGTGGAAGAGGGCCCTCACCCAGCCAGTGGGCACCTCATCTGAGACTCAAGCCGCTGGAACTGAGGGTACATTTCTGCTGTGTGTAAGCCGCCAGGCCTGCACTGGGTTCTAGCAGCCCACGCAGACTGACTAAGAGTGGGCTCTCTGTGCCCTGCCCTTAGCATGATGCTTGACACAAGAGGAAGTATTCCCTTAATGTTTGTTAAATTTAAAAATCTGTATTTTAAAGTCACAAGGTTGGTTGTTGACGTTATTGCAGCTTGTTACCTGCTTATTTAGCAGGAGCTCTGGTGTGCCTGGCAGTGGGCATGCAGGGAGGGGCCAGACCAGACCACTGTCCTGCCAGAGACCAGACTAGCTCCCTGAGTCACTTACTCGGAGGGCGCTGAGCACAGGCACATGCTTAATGAAGGGTTTGTGTGATGGCATCAGGAATGGGTGCTTTGATTTGTCTTTGTTGTGAAAACGTGAGGCCTCTCCCGTTGGTGGACTGGAAGGGAAAGAGCTGGCGTGACCCTGGGACGGTTTGGGCTGCCTTGGCTACGGAGGGCTAGGTACTGCCTTCGGACTGAGAGCTCCTTGACCTACTGGCTGCTGCTTTTAAGTAGAGCCACACACCTGAGAGCCAACCTCCTCTGAGGTGCGTGCCAAAGGCGAGGCCCATGTGCCCGGATGAGGGAGGGATGCTATGGGTCTGAGGCAGGTTGGCCATGGGGGAGGCCTTGTTGGTTTTGTCACTTCCTTTCAGGGCACCAGCCGCAGGGGGAACTCACTGGGCAGTCTCTGGATGCCACTTGTGCTCTGGATGCTGTGGGGATGTTCTGAGGCCTGGGGCCTGTCAGCCCAGTGGTTCACAAGTGTCTCAGTCTGTTTGGGCTGCTGTAATAGAAATGCCACAGACTGGATGGCTTATAAACAACAAATATGTATTTCTCACAGTTCTAGAGGCTGGGAAGTCCAAGGTCAAGGCATCAGCAGACTCACTGTCTGGCGAGGGCCAGCTCCCTAGACTGCTGTCTTTTCTCTGTGACCTTAGATGTAACCACATGGTGGAAGGGGGTGGCCAGCTCTCTGGGTCTCTTTTATAAGGGCACTAATCCCTATCGTGAGGGCTTCACTGTCATGGCCTTCTGAAGGCCCATCTCCACATGCCATCATACTGCATATATCACATGGGGGGACACAGGCATTTAGTCCATTTCAGCACAGGTGTGCTGAGGGGCCAGTCTCCCGTCTACTCTCCAGCCCGCTGATGCATCTTCCTGGTGCAAGGACTTGGGGTGGGGCAGGATCTTGCTCAGTTGCTCCCATCTGTCATATTTGTTATCCATCTGCACTGGGGAGAAACAATGCAGATCCCGGTGTTTGTTCACTCAGCAAACAGTTCGTACCTGCTGAGCGCTGGGTGCTGGAATCAGACTGTTTGGCCCTCACAGGGGTAGACAGACCAGGTAGACAATTATACTTTGGTGAGAAGTGCTGAGATGGGAGAAGTATAGGTGCCGTGGGAGCGCAGAGAAGGGGACCTGACTCAGGTTGAGGGTGCAGGGAAGGCTTCTTGGAGGCTGTGAAATCCAAGCTAGACCTAAGGCTGAGTGGGAATGAGCCACAGGACCCCAAGGAGTGCATTTATTCTTCAGAGTAGGGGTCGGGGACAGCACTGAGCAAAGCCCAGAGCAATGAGACAGCATGGTGACTAGGAACATGGAGAGGTGGAATGTGACCGGGGGGTGGCAAGAGACCCACTGGGTGGGAGCAGGAGGCAGGGCCCGACCAGAAAGGGCCTCGGGAAGGTAAGGCACACAGGGTGGCTAAGAGCCAGGCAGCTCCCCTTTCCCGACTCTGCCATTTACTAACTCCCAGACTGGTGAATGACACTTTGAAAGTGATCAGATCAGTGCCTGGCATGTAGTGAGAACTTTGTAAGTATTTGTTAAGTAGTTGGCAGTTAATATTTGAGTATTCATCATGCACTAGTCACCATTTTTAGCACTTTTTGTGTTTTAATTCATTTAATCCTTGCCATAGTCACATGAGGTAGGTGCTGTTATCTCCATTTTAATGGTGAGGAAACTAAGACCCAGAAAGGGTAGTTTGCCTGAGGTCACAGAACTAGGAACAGGTGAGACCGGCCCTTCCTTGCTTGCACCGGGACCACGCAGTCTTGCTCTCGGGAGCGTGTTCATAACTGCCGTGCTGCGACCCCAGTACGGAATCTGGACCTTCAGCCCAGCGACAGCGGGGAGCTGCGGCAGTGGACTCTGTCCCTTCAGATTTGTGACAGTGGAGCTCCTTAGCCCAGGTGTTGACCCATTTTCAATCTCCACCTCCAGACACCTACAGGAATGCAGAACTGGACCCTGTTACCACAGAAGAACAGGTTCTGGATGTCAAAGGTTACCTGTCCAAAGTGAGGGGCATCAGCGAGGTGCTGGCCCGGCGGCACATGAAAGTGGCTTTCTTTGGCCGGTGAGTCCTTGAAGCCCTCACACCTTTTTCTTCTTGCCTGGGAGGGAGGGGTGGAGGGAGGGAGACACTTCGTGCAGGACCACAGTTAAATTTTTACTTACAGTAACATACACATAAAATTTACCATCATAACTATTCTTAGCTGTACAGTTCAGTTGTGTTGAATACATGTACATTGTTGTGCAACCACCGCCACCAACCATCTCTCGAACTTCTTCATCTTGTAAGGCTAACGCTGTGCTCATTGAGCAGCAGCTCCCCATCCCACTGCCATTCTACTGTCTGTCTCTGAGTTTGTCGCACAGCACTCTTCCTTTTAGGACTGGCTTATTCCGCCCAGCACGATGTCCTCGAGGTTCATCTGTGTTGTAACGTATGTCAGAATTTCCTTCCCTTTTTTTTTGGTACGTGCCCCTAGTGGAACTGAACCTGGGACTCTCTGGTCCGCAGGCCAAGGCTCCAACTGCTGAGCCAAACCAGCCAGGGCAGAATTTCCTTCCTTTTTAAGGATGGATAATAATTCCAGTGTATGCATGGACCACATCTTATTTATGTCTTTGTCCGTGTGGACACGGGTTGCTTCCACTTTTTGGCTATTGTGAGTAGTGCTGCTGTGAACATGGGTGGACATATGTCTGTTCAAGATCCTGCTTCCAGTTCTTTTGGAATTCTTTCAGTTCAGCAGTGGATTCCTGGATCATATGCTAATTCTATTTTTAACTTTATGAGAAACCACCATATTTTCCACAGCAGCTGCACCATTTACATTCCCACCAGCAGCGCACAGGGGTTTGCTTTTCCACATCCTACCAACACTTGTTTTCTGGTTTTTGATAGTAGCCATCCTAATGGGGATGAGGTGGTATCTCATTGTTGTTTGATTTGCTTTTCCCTGATGCTTACTGATGTTGAACCTCTTTTCATGTACTTGCTGGTCATCTGTATGTCTTCTTTGGAGAAATGTCTATTTAAGTCCTTTGCCCATTTTTAAATTGGGTTGTTTATTTCTTTTTTTGTTGAGTTGTAGGAGTTCTTTCTTTTTAATCCTCATATGAAGATATGTTTATAGATTTTTACTTTTTTTTTTTTTTTTTTTTTTAATCCTCACCGGAGGACATTTTTCCATTTTTTTGTTCAGATAGAGCGGGAGGGAGAGAGAGGAAGAGAGAGAGAGAGAAACATCGACGTGAAAGGGACACATCGAGTGGCTGCCACCTGCACGACCAACCAGGGCCGGGGACAAACTGCAACCGAGGTACGTGCCCTTAGTGGGAACCGAACCCGGGTCTCTCTGTACCGCAGGCCAACGCTCCAACCGCTGAGCCAAACCGGCCAGGGCTGTTTATAGATTTTTAGAGGAAGAGAAACATCCATCAGTTGTCCCCCATATATGCCCTGACTGGGGATCGAACCCGCAACCCGGATATGTGCCCTGACCGGAAATCGAACCTGCAACCTTTTGGTGTACAGGATGATGTAACCATCTGAGCCACCTGACTAGGCAGGAGTTCTTTAAATATTCCAGATATTAACCCCTTATGAGATACATGATTTATAAATATTTTCTCCCAGTCTGTGGGTTGCCTTTTCACTCTGATGACTGTGTTCTTTGACGCAGTTTTTTATTTTGATATAGTCCAACTTATCTATTTATATTTTTGTTGCCTATACTTTTGGTGTCATCCAAGAAACTGCCAAATTCAATGTCATAAGGCATTCCCCTGTTTTCTTCTAAGAGTTTTATAGTTTTAGTCATCAGATCTGCTTCTTTGAAGTCCAGTGGGCACCTCTGGATTGTTTTCCATACCATTTAGCCACTCCCCCATTCTCCCCTGACACTGACTGGTGTCCTACAAATTAAACTCGATTCTGATGCACTCTGCCCGGATATAGGGTCAGGCCCCAGGTAAGGGTTCCGTCCACAGACTGCCCCCACTTCAGCACCATTTCATGTGCTTTTTGACCGACTGGCTGTAAAGCGGAGGTTCCCAGGACCTCCTCTTCAAGTTTGATTAATTTGCTAGAGCTCAGGGAAACACTGACTTCCATTTACTGGTTTATTATAGAGGGTATTACTGTAAAGGATACAGACGAACTGCCAGGCAGAGGTTCACCGGGCGAGGCTTAGGAGGGTCCAGAGTGCTGGAGCAGCGGTCCCTGGGGAGGGAATGCACCACCCTCCAGGCAGGTGGATGCCTTCTTTACCCCAGAAGCTCATCAAATCTCATTGTTCAGGAGTTGTTTTTCTTTTTTTTTTCTTCTTTTATTGATTCTAGAGAGAAAAGAAGGGAGAGGGAAAGAGAGAAACATCGATGAGAGAGAACATCAATTGGCCGCCTCCTGCATGCCCCCTACTGGGGACTGGGCCTGCAACCTGGGCATGTGCCCTGACCAGGAATTGAACCCGCAACCTCTAGGTGCATGGGTCGATGCTCAACCACTGAGCCAGCTGGGCGTTCAGTAGTTTTTATGGGGCTTAATTTGCAGCCCCCTCCTTCCTTTTCCCAGAGGTTGGTGGGTAGGCCTCCCCTCTAATCACTTGATCTTTCTGGTGAGCAGCCCACTTCAGACTGTCTAGGGGCCCCACCCTGGGTCACCTCATTCGAATAAACAGCTGTGCTCAAATGAGGCTCCTTGTGAATGACAAAAGGCATTTCCATCACTCAGGAAATTCCAAGGGTTTTAGGAGCTGTGTCCAGGAACTGGGGGCAAGGACCAAATATATCAAATATATTTCTTATTATACCACAGCACCTTAAAAAAATGAAAAGCCCACACAGGAAAAAGAAAAAAAAAAGACTGAACAGGTTGGATGCTTTACTCAGTGGTGGCCTGAGGAACAGCAATCTGCCTTGAGTCCTGCCTCAGTGACTCATCATGTCAGGTGTGACCCTCCTGCTCCTCTGGGCTCTTTTCTTTTTCTTTTTCGGTTAATCCTCACCTGAGGATATTTTTCCATTGATTTGTAGACAAAGCTGAAGGGAGCGGGTGGGAGAAGAGGGAGGGAGGGAGAAGAGGGAGGGAGGGAGAGAGAGAGAGAGAGAGAGAGAGAGAGAGAGAGACACACACACATCAGCGTGAGAGAGACATATCCATTGGTTGCCTCCTATATGACCCCAGGGGATCAAACCTCTAACCCAGGGACATGTCCTTGACCAGGAATCAAACCCAAGACCCTTCAGGCCCTCAGGCCAACACTCTAACAATGAACCAAACCAGCCAGGGCTGGGCTGTCTTCATCCTTGCCTCAGAGTTGGCTCTGTTTCAAGCACCAGATTCCAGAAGAGGGAGACGAGGGCGTGGCAGGCGGGAATGCGGGGCGGTGTCCCCGGGAGCCAGCAGTCACAGCTGGGCGGCTGTGGTGGGCTCCATGTGTGAGCAGGGGTGCAGTGGGAGCAAACACCGGGACGCGGCTCATTCAGCTGGGGTCACCTAGACTGAGGGTTCAGTGGTTTCAACTCGAAGGAGTGGGTCTCCTTCAGGAGGTCTCTGTAAGGAATGGCCTGTTTAAGGACAGGTTAAGTGGCGTCATGCTGGCTGCGCATCGTGTGTGTGCTTTGCGTGTCCGTTTGTAGTGATGAGCCAGGAGCACCTCACAGGCACAGGCCACAGTTGTTTGTCCACCCATTTCCACGGACAGCGCGCCCACTCTGCCTGTCTGGGCACTGCTGTCATCGCAGAGACAAGACTGGACTCCAGGCTGGTAACGAAACGCGGATGCTGGTGGCTTCACTGACAGCCAGTCTTTCCTCCGCACAGGACAAGCAATGGGAAGAGCACCGTGATCAATGCCATGCTCTGGGACAAAGTTCTGCCCTCGGGGATCGGCCACACCACCAACTGCTTCCTGCGGGTGGAGGGCACGGATGGCCACGAGGCCTTCCTGCTCACGGAGGGCTCGGAGGAGAAGAGGAGTATCAAGGTGAGGGTGCTGTGCGGGATTGTGGGCAGGACCGCAGGGTGTGCCTGGGCACAGACCAACCAGTGAGACGGGACTACGGCACCTCTGCGGAGAGGTCGGGGCGCTGGCGTGGAATGTGGGCAGCCCTGTTCCCTAGCCGTGTAGGAGGAGAGCTGTTCTGGGAGGGTCTGAAACCTGGAGCACCGGAATCTTGTCTGCACTTCCTTGCACATTGCCCAGCAGGCCATTGACTTCTCTTGACCTGAAGAGGATATGTGCCTTGTTCTCCTTGGGGATGTTGCCAGAGAGCAACTGCATTTACTCTGTGGTTCTGCCATATGACCCAGGGGCTTGTACGTTTCAGTTTTCCTGAGAGCCAGTGGCATTTTCTTTGGGGCCAGGTGCTCATTTGGTTCGTGAAGATGTACTGCAGAACCCTCTCAGCTTTAGGACATTATCTGAGAAGCTAAAAGAGGCGTGAAGAATAGTTGGTTCTTCCCACAACTCCCAGCTCTTGACTTTGTATGTGTGAAATGAAGGGAAGGGGTAGCAGATTGGGCAGCAGTCTCAGGCCACGGTGCCATGCCGGGCGGCACTGGAAATCGGGCTGGTGGCTGGTCCTCAGCCCTGAGCTTTCTGTCCCTCCTCCCCGTCAGACCGTGAACCAGCTGGCTCACGCCCTTCACCAGGATGAGCAGCTGCATGCTGGCAGCCTGGTGAGTGTGATGTGGCCCAACTCCAAGTGCCCCCTGCTGAAGGATGACCTCGTGCTGATGGACAGGTAAGAGGGAAGGGCCTCCCTAGGAGGTCTAAACATAGGGGACCAGGTGTCCCATTTCTGGATCATCCAAGCCAGTATCCCCTGGGCCCTGACATCACTCTGCTTATGTACTGCTGCCTTTTAAACTGGCTCCACCAGATTCCCCTGCCCCTTGGACATCCTCCAGGGTCTGGTTACTGTGCCCATTGGCATCAGTGCCCTGAAGATGTCCCAGTGAGGGTCTGTAAGGGATTGGAGGGCTGGCAAAAACCTGAGTCCAATGTTAGTATGTGTGTGGGGTGGGGTTCGTGTTGTACCTTTTTTCTGCTGAAGGAGCACTTTACTTTGGCTTTGTGGACAGGTTGCAACTGTACCAAGTAATTTTACACTATAGTGCTTACTAGACTCACATAAATACAACATTTTAACTTTTTTTTAAAAGTTGATTTTAGAAAAAGGAAGAGAGAGAGAAACATCAATTTGTTGTTCCACTTATTTATCATTCATTGGTTGATTCTCGTATGTGCCCTGACCAGCGCTTGAACTCACAACCTTGGCATATCAGGACAGAGTTCTGACCAACTGAGCTACCTGGCCAGGGCAACATTTCACCTTAATAGTTTTCCTCCAAAGTAAAATTATAGGTCATTATGTTTTGGTAAAAGTGATAGATGTTGCCCTGGCTGGTTTGGCTCAGCAGTTGGAGTGTCGGCCTGCAGACTGAAGGGTCTCGGGTTCGATTTCCAGTCCAGGGAACGTGCCTGGGTTGTGGGTTTGATCCCCAGCCCCTGTGTGGGTCATGCGGGAGGTGGCCAATCAATGTGTCTCTCTCACCTCGATGTCTCTCTCTTCCACTCTATCTAGAAAGCAATGTAAAAGTATCCTTGGGTGAGGATTTAAGAAAAGAAAAGTGATAGATGCACATGGCAGAAAACAGATTTTCAGATAATCTGGAGTGTTCTGAAATGGAAAGTAAAAACCCCTTCAGTAAGGGACAACAGGCCCCATTTTTCTCTCCTCTGTAGCTGTCTCCTTCCTTTGCCTGGCAGCCTCAGGTCTGTCAGAGCTGGGAGAACAGGGCCCATGGTCTGATGTTGGTTTACCCCTGTCACCTCTAGCCCTGGCATCGATGTCACCACAGAGCTGGACAGCTGGATTGACAAATTTTGCCTGGACGCTGATGTGTTTGTGCTGGTGGCCAACTCAGAGTCCACTCTGATGCAGACGGTAACTCCCCCTCCGCCTGTCCCACGCTGCCTGGGCCCTGGCTGGCTCGGGCCCTCCCCCACTGAGGTCGTCCCCTCTCGTCCAGGAAAAGCAGTTCTTCCACAAGGTGAGCGAGCGCCTGTCCCGTCCCAACATCTTCATCCTGAACAACCGCTGGGATGCGTCTGCCTCGGAGCCCGAGTACATGGAGGAGGTTGGTACCTCTTTATTCAGCAGTTTGGGGACTGCCTCCCCACATGTGTACCCAGGGGTGGCATTCCAGGCTGCATCAGGTCCATGACTTCCTAAAGGAATCTCATCACCAAACATTTCCCAGGTATTCCCTCGGGTCACTGCGAGGGTGGGGGGTCTTCAGCCGGCTTTAAAAACACTCTCCCTTCACACCCTGCCGCTCCCCCCTCCGCACCCTCCTGCTCCCCCTCCGCACCCTCCTGCTCCCCCTCCGCACCCTCCTGCTCCCCCTCCGCACCCTCCTGCTCCCCCTTCGCGCCCTCCCGCCCTCCCGCTCCCCCCTCCGCGCCCTCCCGCTCCCCCTTCACACCCTCCCACTCCCCCCTCCGCGCCCTCCCGCTCCCCCTTCACACCCTCCCACTCTCTCATTCTCTGTCCCAGATCCCTGCATTCTTCAGGAGGTTCTCATCCAGATCTGAAAAGCACCTCCACCACAGTAGCTGCACCCTTGTTTGGGTTCTGTGTTCACGTTGGTTCATAAAGAATTCAGCATTGTAGAGCAGGTTCAGCTTTAGGAAGATATCCAGAAAGGAAGCTTAAAAGAGGAATGAAGAACAGTTGGTTCTTCATGTGTGAAATGAAGGAATGAATCAGAGATTGGTCACAAGGAATGGCAAAGCCTAGTCAGCAAGCTGACATTGGGCACTAGACTTCGGTATATTCCTTAACCCTTCTGGTAAATTCCTCACCTGTGAGATAGGTATGATAGAGTACAGTGAGGATGAAGTCTCTTACCATCGAGAAAGGCGCCTGGCACGTGGCAGGTGACCACAAGAGGCTGTGCGCATTTGTAAGTTCCAGTGGTGGAAACCTAGACTTCAGAGCTGGATGGGATTATATGGTGGTGTCCACTCAATTCATACACAGGGCCCTGGAGGATTTGGCTTGTCAGCATAGAGCCTGGGTGTAGGTTTCTCAACTCCCAGATCTTTCTTTCTTTCTTTCTTTTTTGGTACGTTCCCCTAGCGGAAACCAAACCCAGAACTCTCTGGTCCGCAGGCTGATGCTCCAACCGTTGAGCCAAACCGGCCAGGGCTCAACTCCCAGATCTTTCATCTGGGGCACAGAAGTGAGACACTGTACGTTCTCACTGTGCAGTTTGGGGCATGGCATATGTATACATAAGATACCTTTGGCAGTCCAACCCTAAGAAACTCCCGTGACCATACTGCTTCTGAGGAGCTTGGTGGCTAGAGAGCAGAGATGGTGAGAAGCGGTTCACTGTGTGCCTTTGAGTACTGAGCTGTATGCATATATTACCTGTTTTTCCTAGAAAAGAAGCAGTTATGCCCGGCTGGTGTGGTTCAGTGGTTGAACATTGACCCATGCACCAACAGGTTGCTGGTTCGATTCCTGGTCAGGGCACATGCTCAGGTTGTGGGCCCGATCCCCAGTTGGGGCATGCAGGAGGTGGACAATTGATGTTCTCGCTCATCGATGTTTCTCTCTCTCTCTCTCCCTTCCTTTTTCTCTAAAATCAATAAAGAAAAGAAAAGAAGCAGTTAGGGGCTGTGGGCTCCCATCAGGAGGGGCCCACCTGGTCACATACACCCATCTACTTGGGCTTCAGGTGCGGCGGCAACACATGGAGCGTTGTACCGGCTTCCTGGTGGATGAGCTGGGCGTGGTGGATCGAGGCCAGGCTGGAGACCGCATCTTTTTTGTGTCTGCCAAGGAGGCTCTCAACGCCAGGATCCAGAAAGCCCAGGGCATGCCTGAAGGAGGTGACGATGGGACAGACTTCTTCCTTTTCCCTAATGTTTGAGACGTTTGGGCTCGTGCTAAGTCAGCCAGTAGAAAATAGTTCTGAGAAGGTTGTAGTGAGAAGTTTTTTGCTCCCCAGCCAGTGTTTAGCCAAGTGCCCCATCGGCTTGGCTTGGTGGGTTTTTACCCTTTTCCTCTCCTGCTAAGTTATCTCTCCAGACTAATATTGTGCAGTTCTCCTAGGGGGCGCTCTTGCAGAAGGCTTTCAAATGCGGATGCTTGAGTTTCAGAATTTTGAGAGGAGGTTTGAGGTGAGTTCTTTGATTTTGGTCTCTGGCGCTTCTGGGCTTGCCCAGCTGTCACAGACCATGTCCCTGGCAGTGAACACCAGAGCCTGGCCCTTGGTTGGTGGCCGTTGGTGGCCTCCCTCAGTACCTCTTGTCTGTTCCAGGAGTGTATCTCCCAATCTGCAGTGAAGACCAAATTTGAGCAGCACACAGTCCGGGCCAAGCAGATTGCAGAGGCAGTTCGCCTCATCATGGACTCGCTGCACATCGCGGCTCAGGAGCAGCGGTAAAAACCTGGGACGTCGGACAGGCCAGGGCAAGGTGGGGGTGCCGGGAAGTGATTGCCTCACCCCGGCCTGGGGTCGGCAGGCCAGGCAGAACGAGTCTCTGGGCTCCCATGCAGGTGCCTTTCCCCAGTCGCCAGGCCACACTAGATCTACGTGGAGCAGCCTGGTGAGGGGACCATCAGGTGTCTGTCCTACTGGGCCTGTGCAGCACAGTCCCCTGAAATACCACCCTCGCAAGCCCATGTTGGAGGCCTGGCTCAGTGCTGCCCTGAACACCCTAGCCATTCTCAGAGCCGGAAGCAGAACACATTTTTTAAAAATAACCTATTTTAGCCCACCTGGTGTGGCTCAGTGGTTGAGCGTCGACCCATGCACCAAGAGGTCTCCAGTTTGATTCCTGGTCAGGATACATGCTCAGATTGTGGGCTAAATCCCCAGTGGTGGGCATGCAGGAGGCGGCCGATTGATATCTCTCATCGATGTTTCCATCTCTCTCTCCCTCTCTGTTCCTCTCTAAAATCAATAAAGAAAAAACAATTTTTTTAATAACCTTTTTTAGAGAGAGGTTAAAATATAGGCAAGTACAGAGATAAGATTAAAACCTTGCTTCCACCACACAGAATGGACAGTGTTTTCTCTATATTATTTATTAAGTTAAAATAAAACACACAAAAAGTGTTAAGTACATTTGATTCTTTAGCCCTTGACCCAGTCACTGTGCTCAGTCCTCGGGCAGCCGCGGCCATCAGTGGGTGTGCAGCCTTAGCGTCTGCATAAACCCTGAGGGAATGTAGCATTGCTCTGTCCGCTCTGAGCGCGCAGCCGCAGCGTCCTGCGTGTCACTGCGCCGGTCTTTCCACGCGCGTCCTCTGTGCCTTTGTCCTTACGGATACATGTATTTGGAATATATGACTATTAACTCCTATAGAGTATTCCATTGTGAATTGTAAATACCTCATTTTCTCATTGACTGGTTTTTAGATTTCACTTCTTTGCCATTACATACTGCTGCGGTGGACACCAGTTTACATGTCCCCTCTGGCATTTTTAAATTTATTTGTTAATCCTCACCTGAGGATATTTTTCCATTGATTTTTAGATAGAATGGAAGAGAGGGAGGGAGAGAGAAACATCATTATGAGAGAGACACATGATTGGTTGTTTCCTGCATGACCAACTGGGGCCAGGGACCAAACCTGCAACCCAGATATGTGCCCTTGACCGGGACTCGAACCCGAGACCCTTCAGCCTACAGACTGACCATTGAGCCACACTGGCCAGGGTCCCTCTGACACATTTGTATACGCCTTGCTGGGATGCATTCCTGGATGTAGGACCGTTTGTTTTAAGGTATATGCATTTTCAGTTTTACCCAGTTTTCCTTGGTTGCTTTCGGAAGCACCTAAATCCATCCGTAGTTCCCCCGGCAGCATGTGCTGGGACTCCCCTTCCCCGACCCTCCTGTTACTTCAGACTGGGGGGGTTTCCAGGCCTCTTGGCAGATGGTAGCACCTCTTTCATCTCCCTGATTAGTAGTGGGCCGAGCATTCTCTCATGTTAATTGGTAGAACTTGTTCTGAACCCCTGAAAGCACCTCCCCACTGTCACCACCACATCTTCCGAATAGAGGACCCAAGAATGAGTGGGTGGCGCGGCTCGCCCTCCTGCCTGGGGAGGGCCAGGGGAAGAGCACCTACCTGGCTGTGTGGGTGAAACTCCCAAGGCCCCCTGGCCCTGCCGTGGCCAGGACCACAGCTGGGCCTCGCCGGCCCTCCGGCGGCCCCTCTGGCTCTACGTAGTGAGTGGGGACCTGGGGCTTGTAACCCACACTCTTCCTTTCAGGGTTTACTGCCTGGAAATGCGAGAGGAGCGGCAGGAGCGGCTGACGTTTATTGACAAACAGTTGGAACTCTTGGCGCAGGACTACAAACTGCGAATTAAGCAGATTACGGAGGAAGTCGAAAGGCAGGTGAGAAACGGAGGAGGCATGTTGGGGCGATTCGAACTCAGAGCGCAGTCCGGAGTGCTGGAAAAGTGAGAAAAGCAGACCTCCTCCTGGGGTTTCTCAGCCTTCCAGAAGGAACCAGTGCCCTGGTTCAAGGATGCAGAACTGGGGGAGGGGGGAGATAAACCACAGAACTTGTATGCATGTACGCATAACCAATGGACACGGACAACAAAGCCAGGGACGGGGTGGGGGGGATGGGGAGGAGGTGTCAATGGGGTAAAAAATGAGAAACATCTGTAACAAAAATAAAATAAAATATATTAAAAAAAAAAAGAATGCAGACTCACCCTGGCCGGTTTGGCTCAGCGGTTAGAGCGTTGGCCTGCGGTCCAGAGAGACCTGGGTTCGGTTCCCACTAAGGGCATGTACCTTGGTTGCAGTTTGTCCCCGGCCCTGGTTGATCGTGTGGGTGGCAACCATTTGATGTGTCCCTTTCACATCGATGTTTCTCTCTCTCCCTCCCTCCCACTCTATCTGAACAAAATATCGAAAAATGTCCTCAGGTGAGGCTAAAAAAGAAGAATGCAGAAACTTCTCTGGGCTGATTGTTCTGATGTGTGACCCTGGGCAAGTCATCCTTCTCCAGATCTTAGATGAGTCATTTGGTCAGCCAGTCTGTCGTCCCTTCTACCTCGAAAGCTTTAATTCCATGGACGAGCTAGGAAACCTCTGGCTTGGGGGAAGGAGAGACAGTATATAAGGATCTGTTAGACGCTGCTGGTGCTGTAGATTCGAACCACCTTCCTTGACACCTTCACGCTCTTTTCTGTAGGTGTCGACGGCGATGGCCGAGGAGATCAGGCGCCTCTCTGTGCTGGTGGATGAGTACCAGATGGATTTCCACCCTTCTCCAGTCGTCCTCAAGGTGTATAAGAATGTGAGTCACTGAGCAGCAGTGCCCTCATGCAGGGCCCTCGTTCCTGGCTGCTGGGTGGCGTCTCCAAGCAGACGGTGATTCGGCCCTGCTGGTCTGTGTCAGGGCCCTTAGCCAGGGACATGAGATCCAGGCCTCACCCAGCTCTCCCGTGTCACCTGGTGGGCGTGGGCTGATCGTCCTCGGATCTCCTTGCCCCTTGGCTCCCCAGAAGGAAGTCCTGAATGGGGGTGCTGCTTCTCTCAACCTCTTTCTGGTTGCAGGAACTACACCGCCATATTGAGGAAGGACTGGGCCGAAATATGTCCGACCGCTGTTCCACAGCCATCACCAGCTCCCTGCAGACCATGCAGCAGGAGATGATGGGTCAGTGCGCAGGGGAACTCGGGACCTGTGCCCTGGGCTGCCCAGAGCTCAGCTTTGGAGGCTAGGCTACCGAGTTAATGACCTTTCCTTATCTGTCACCTTTTATGATGAGTCAGCTCCATACCTTCAGGTTCTGGGTGATCCAGACTCTGGAGCCATCTTGTGTTACCACACGGGACTGTCACTGGCTGAGAGTTTGGCCTGCCCCTTAATCCACATGAGGTATAAACGTTAGCAGAGATGGAGCCCCGGTGGCACACGCACACGGCAGAGCTGAGGCTCGGCCCCGGCGGCACACGCACACGGCAGAGCTGAGGCTCGGCCCCGGCGGCACACGCACACGGCAGAGCTGAGGCTCGGCCCCGGCGGCACACGCACACGGCAGAGCTGAGGCTCGGCCCCGGCGGCACACGCACACGGCAGAGCTGAGGCTCGGCCCCGGCGGCACACGCACACGGCAGAGCTGAGGCTCGGCCCCGGCGGCACACGCACACGGCAGAGCTGAGGCTCGGCCCCGGCGGCACACGCACACGGCAGAGCTGAGGCTCGGCCCCGGCGGCACACGCACACGGCAGAGCTGAGGCTCGGCCCCGGCGGCACACGCACACGGCAGAGCTGAGGCGAGGCACAGGCGGCACACGGCAGAGCTGAGGCGCTTTCTCCCCCTCTCTTCCTGACAGACGGCTTGAAACCCCTCCTCCCTGCGTCTGTGCGGACTCAGATTGACATGCTGGTCCCTCGACAGTGCTTCTCCCTCAGCTACGACCTCAACTGTGACAAGCTGTGTGCTGACTTTCAGGAGGACATCGAGTTCCATTTTTCTCTTGGGTGGACCATGCTGGTGAATAGGTTCCTGGGCCCCAAGAACAGCCGCCGGGCCTTGATGGGCTACAACGACCAGGCAAGCACAGTCCCTTACTTTTGGGCAATGCGGGAGAGCAGTACACCCCATCCCCAGATGTACAGACCATTCTGGAAGGGGCTCCCTGAGGTCAGCAGCTGTGGCACACAGGCCTCCACACTACACCATGGTCAAGGTGTTCCCGTACATCAGGCTAGTCTTATCCTAAGCACTGATATTTGTGAAATTATAAATACTAGCTGTATTTTTTTTTTTATCCTCACCCGAGGATATTTTTTTCTTTATCTTCAGGTAGAGAGAGAGGGAGAGAGAGAGAAACATCGACATGACAGGGACACTTCAGCTGGATCAGCTGGTTGCCTCCCACATGACCCTGACCAGGGCTGGAGACGAACTGCAACTTAGGCACGTGCCTTTGACTGGAATCGAACCTGGGACTCATTGGTCCGTGGGCCAACGCTCCACCGCTGTGCCAAACCGGCCAGGGCTGAATTTTTTTTTCTTTATTGATTTTAGAGAGGGGAAGGGAGAGGGAGAGGGAGATAGAAACATTGATGAGAGAGAACATCAGTTGGCCGCCTCCTGCATGCCCCTCACTGGGGATTGGGCCCACAACCTGGGCTTGTGCCCTGACCGGGAATCAAACCCATAACCTTTTGGTACTTGGGACGACACTTCAATCAGCGGAGCCACCCGGCCAGGGTTCCATGTTCAATTTTAAAATTTAGATTTTACATCACCTCTCTGCTATTGCATGTACTGTTCTTAGTACGTGTCCCACACTTTGGGGTGCTAAAGCATTCCAGAGTGGCTACTGCTCACCTTTTGGGGTCCCCCACAGTTCTCATCTTTGGGCTGGCAGGTCTTTTACAAAGCTTAAATCCTCTTTGTAACTTGTGAAGCTCTTTTTTCCACTTTTGGCCTTTTGGCAATTCATTGAAAGCCACCTCTGTCCTTGTTTCAGGACCCCTAGCCTCGGAGGTCACTGGGGGTTCCATTGAAGGAGCCCCATTTTTCTTATCCCTCTCCTTGTCTCTCTCCAGGTTCAGCGTCCTGTCCCTCTGACGCCCGCCAACCCCAGCATGCCCCCTCTGCCGCAGGGCTCCCTCACTCAAGAAGAACTCATGGTTTCCATGGTCACCGGCTTGGCCTCCCTAACGTCCAGGACCTCCATGGGCATTCTGGTTGTTGGAGGAGTGGTCAGTGACAAACCGTGCTCGGGAAGGGTGGGGAGTGGGGAAGACAGGTGGCTGGAGACTGAGGGGCAGAGTTCTGGTGGTCCCTGCGTGGCACAGCTTTGTCACCTCCATCAGTGGTTGACTGTTCTCTTCACCGATCTGAGCGGAGCAGCCTCAGCCCTTCAACATATAGTCATTGACTTATTTGTCTCAGCTGACATTAGGTAGCACATTGCCAGGTGCGGCAAGTCTGATTCCTTGTCAAAGATACACAGCCAGGCTGTGAACTGGCCCCGTCTCACTCTAAGGCCATGTTCTTTCCCCTGTAGGACCTGCACTACATGGTGGGTAGGGAAGTGACCCAAGAAATCGACTGGCCTGGGTTCTAGAGAGGGGGCATGACCAGGAGCTTCCCATGTGTAGGCAAGAAAATCAAGAGCAAAACGTGACAGGCTTACGATAGAAGAGGCCAAGCCAGGCCTTGTCTGTCCGCCTCCTGGCTCTGTGCCCTTTCCTCTGCGCGCAAGGCCTGGAACGGCGGCTGCCTGCTCGCTAGCTGGTGCTCGGTGCTTCCCGGTCCAAGAGGCACTGCCGCCGGGACAGCGAGAGAGGGGAAGGGGAGAGAGAGACGTCGATATGGTAGGGATACGTCAACTGGCTGCCTCCTGCGTGGCCCCTCTGAGGAGCGAGCCTGAGATGGGGCGTGTACCCTGACCAGGAGTCGAACCAGTGACCTTTCAGTGCACAGGATGACGCCAGCCAACTGAGCCACACCAGCCATGGCTTCCTTTTGTTCCTTTTAAATTTATATATTGACTGTTAGAGAGAGAGAGACATAGATTTGTTGTTTCACTTTTTTATGCATTGTTTGGTTGATTCTTGTTTATACCCTGATTGGGCAAACCCACAACTTGGTGTATCGGGGTGACGCTCCAACCAATGAGCTACCCGGCCAGGGCGACCTTGAATGTCCTTGATGGTGTGGGCAAATTCTCCCTGTTATGGACATTGGATTTGTAGAAGTGGTGGCAGAATGTAACTAGCAAACCTGTGTTCTCAGCTTGTGAGACTAGGGTGAGGTAACGAGGCCCCTCCCCCTCCTCTGCGGCAGGCACGTGCCCTGGCTCTCCTTTCAGAGGCCACCTGGCCGAAGGTCATGAGCTGAGACGCACCGCATGATGGTTATGTGACCCTGCAGCTCCTTTTGCCTAATCGGCTCTGTGAATTGGGTGAAAACCATTATACCGGTTCTGTGAGGAAACTGGCGTACAGACACTTGCCTGTGGTCGGTCACGCAGCCAGGATGGCAGGCAGCACTAGAACCTTGGTTTCTGGCTCCAAGTCCAGTGCTCTTTGAACACAACCACACTGCTTTAAAGCAGAGGGTTACAAACAGGATCAGTAAAGCCATCTGCTGAGCAATGATGTGTGTGATCTGACTTGGCGGCGTCAGAACATTTATCTGTAAGAGTTCTTTGTGCCATCCAGCCCAGTGGCTCAGTTGGTTGAGCTCATCCCTGTGCACCAAAAGGTTGCCGGTTTGATTCCCGGTCAAGGCAAATACCTAGGTGTAGGTTCAGGCCCTGGTCAAGGCACATACAGAAGGCAACTGATGTTTCTCTCTCACATCGATGTCTGTCTGTCTCTCTGTCTCTCTGTCTCTCTGTCTCTCTCTCTCTCTCTCTCTCTCTCTCTCTCTCTCTCCTTGCCTCTCTCTAAGCATGTTCTCAAGTGAGGATTAAAAAAAAAAGAATTCTGCGTTCCTGGATCTGTGCTTGTGGCCCTAATACCCCCACCTCATTTTGCACAAAGCATGTGTATAAACTCTAAGATTCCTTCGTTTTAAACTATAGCCAGTGCCTCCTCTTCTGGCCTCAGCAGGATTAAAGGAGATGTTGAAAGAAGTGTTCTGAGTCAAAGCACAGTGGCTCCTTTATGGGGACTCTTGGGAAAGTCCTAGCAGGGACAGTTCGAGAGGCCGGGCGGTGGGATGGCAGAGCGGCTTTGTCAGCTGACGGCTGTGCCTCTGCAGGTGTGGAAGGCAGTGGGCTGGAGGCTCATCGCCTTGTCGTTTGGGCTCTATGGCCTCCTCTACGTCTACGAGCGTCTGACCTGGACCACTAAGGCCAAGGAGAGGGCCTTCAAGCGCCAGTTTGTGGAGTACGCCAGCGAGAAACTACAGCTCGTCGTCAGCTACACCGGCTCCAACTGCAGCCACCAAGTCCAACAGTGAGTGACCAGCAGCCCTGAGCCTGGCACCAGCTCTCGTGGTCCAGGACTTCCCTCTGGGTTCCTTTCCTACCTCAGCCTGGAAAGCACTGGGCCCTGAGCATCCTCCAGCCCTGGCCGCCAGCTGTGTAGTGCTGACTTGAGGCCAGAGATGAGGAGAAGCATCTCTCCAGGGACACCTGTGTCCTGGGCTGGGACCAAGGAGGAGTCTGGTTCCCCAAGGAAGGAGGACATGGAAAGATGAGGGACATTACTTGCAGGAGATTTTAAAGGTTGCCTAGGGGGCTTGTGCTCTGGGTGCAGCTTGAAATTCTAAGGCACAAGCTCGTTCTGCATGGACAGCTCAGGTCAGGTGGGAGTGGAGCGCTTGATCTGGGTGCGGGAACGCTGGCTGCTGGGCAGCAGGCCCCTCGCGGGCATCTGCTCCTCCAGCCCTGTAGAGGGAGACGTCGTTTTTCTTGGCATTTGCTTTTTCAAGGTGAAGAAATAGAGACTTGTGGAGTAGTCACTTGTCTGTTGTCACTCGGCTGATTAGCAGCAGAGCCAGGATCTGATTCCTAGTCTCTTGTGCCCAAGCCGGGGTGTACTGCCCTGTGCCCCTGGTCCTCACACTGCGGTGCTGTGAGTGCCTGTGCTGGTTGTGACGTGCATGGTCTCAGCGTCGGGAAGGGGGTTCTTCTGAACCAGGGCTGGGCAGGCAGAGCCGCCAGCAGGTGACAGAGGGCCTGGCTGCTGCCCTGCTCTGGGTGGATCCGATTCAGCCACCAACGGCGTTCTGCAGAACAGTCACGGTGCCTGGTTGATGCTGATTTCCTCCTCAGGGAACTGTCTGGGACTTTTGCTCATTTGTGCCAGCAAGTCGACGTCACCCGGGAGAACCTGGAACAGGAAATTGCTGCTATGAACCAGAAAATCGAGGTTCTTGTTTCACTTCAGAGCAAAGCAAAACTGCTCAGGTGAGGTTGGCCTGGGCAGCGGGAGGCAGGGGCTCTGGTGTGTGGCACAGGCTAGTCTGTGTCTGGCGTGGACACACGTCTCTCTGGTGGGGCTCTAGCTTGCTCCTGTGTTAGACGTCTGCCGAGCACCTGCTGGGTACCAGGTGTGGGGCCAGCCCCGGAGGCTCAACGAGACACAGTCCCTGCCCCGTAGGTGCTGGTAGTCAGGGCTGTGGCGGCAGCAGAGGGACCAGGCAGTGTGGGGCTCAGAGGTTACAGCTCACTGGCACCGGCTCTTAACTGCAGCGTCTCAGGCACTTGACATGAGCTGCTCCCTCACCTTCAACATCCTTTAGGGACGCGATATCGTCTCCACTTTATAAAAGGACAGTGGGGCCTACAGAGGTTAAGGAACTTGTCTGCAATCTCCCAGTAAATGGTCAAGCCAGGAGTGGAAGAGTCCAGGTGTGCTTGGCTACAGTCCCTCTGACCCTGCATGCCAGTTGTCCTTTACTGTCTGTGCTGGGGACACTGGGCCAGGCCCTCCACACACTTTACTCCATTTCTCTGAGCTCAGGAAAGGGAGCAGATCAGCACGTTCACCCACAGGGAGACTGGTTAGGTGCAGGTAACTGGCAGAACTCAGACTGGAACCCAGGTCTGCGTGGGGTCTCTGTCGAAACCAGGTTTGCTGGAGAGAATATTGATCTGAGGAGTCAGGGTTCTGGTCCAGGCACTTGTGTTCGAGCAAATCACCAAGATTTCCTGTGTCTCATTGTTTTCATCTGTAAAACGGAGTCAGATGTCACGACACGGCCACAGAGCTGAATGGGCGAGCGCTCTGCAGAAGTCCTGGGCCCACTCAGCCGAGATAACATCAGTTCACGAGGCCTTGTGCTTCCTGCCCCCGCCTCGCGGCAGCACCTGGGAGCTGCGTCATCGGCCACGGGTCCAGCCCCAGGGAAATGGACTTCCCCTTCTCTGACTGTGCCCTGTGCCCTCCCTGCCCGCCCCGGGGGGCACGCTCATCCCCTGGGAACTCTCGGGGTGCGTGTGGGAGTGTCCGCTGAAACGGGACAGGCAGGAAAACGGAGTTCGCACCAGTTTAGGCACTTGCCTGCGGTCCCACGTGGAGCAGACACACTTGCGGGGCAGAAGGCCTACAGGAAACTCTCGCACCTCTCCGGGCCTCATTCTCGTGTGTAGCAAGGGGGTTTTGGAGGGGGATATGCCACAACAGTGTTTGGCGTGTGCTGCTAATATTACTTATCAGTTATTATCACTGCAAAATCACTGTTTCTCTGCAGGAATAAAGGTGGTTGGATGGACAGTGAACTCAACATGTTCATGCACCAGTACCTGCAGCCCAGCAGATAGTGGGCAGCCCAGGGCCGGAGCCTGCGTGGAGGAGGGTGGTGCCGCCAGCCTCCTGGAGCCGCCTCCAGGGCCACGCGCTGCTCCTGTCTGGCCGCCGCCGTGAGAGTGAACGCACCAGTGTCTCACCGTTCTTGAGCCCTTAAACACTAGTTCCTTCCCCTCCTTTGCCTGCTGCTGCAGGGAGACTTTCCGGCTCACATCCCTAAAGGAGACTTTTTAAAGATAACTGGACAGCATGAGGAGTTAAGTCGAGTCTTCTCTGCTCTGCCAGGCTCACTGGGCTGAGCATCGTTGGAGAGCTTGGTAAGGTCCGGGGCTCTCCCAGCATCGTGGAATGCCTGCCTGGAGCCTTCAGGGTGCCAGGCACACCCCTCCTCTGGCCAACACAAATGCTGACCCGCGCACTCCTGAGCTCCTTGTGCCCCAGCACACCTGCAGAAAAGGGCTGCCCCGGGGATGGTCGGGCTCTCCCCTGACTGCACTGCCAGTGGTCTGTCCCAGGACTGTGGCTGGGCCACCGCGGTCCTTCAGCTTCCATGCTTCGTCCCGTGTGCAGAGCCTTTCAGACACGTGTTCTTGGTGGGCTCAGTGTGGATGCCGTGGGCTTTAGGTGAGGCGGGCCCTGTGCCCGAGGGAGAAAGGTGCAGCAGAGATGACTGCAGTGTGAGAATAGCTTGGGGGCGCTTGCGTGTGGAGGGTGTCCCCGTCCTGATGCCGTGCTGTGGGGGGTGGCTGTTTCTGTGAGGAGGGCTGTGCCTCCCTGCCCTCACTGCACCCCTGCTCTAGTCTGGCCTTGGCCTGCGTGGTCTGGTGTTGTTAGTGAAGGATGGTTTGGTTCAGGTTGTTAAAGGATGTAGTAGAAGGAAAGATGGTGGCAGGAAGGGGACTTTGGTGGCAGGCCGAGGGGAGTGGGCCCCTTTTGGACAGCTGGAGAAGGTGGAGTTGGCAGAGCGAGGCGCTCCATTTGGCCTCTCTCAGGCTCATGGGGTCCCTGTTATGCCCCTTGAGAGACATGTCCCCACCCCCAGTGTGGCTCAAGCTGCCCTTGGTCGCCCGTCCTCTGGACTCAGTGTCCTGTGCCAGTGATGCTGCAGTGGCCAAGAGACAGTGTGGGAACCCTGGGACCCCACTGCCCACCCTCCCCGATCCCCAGAGCCTCCCTGACACACGTGGCCACCTCCTGTTAACTTTGAGAAATGGTTTCCATTGCTGAGTTTAGGGATTGTTACTGGTTAAAGTGGGGCGGGTTCCCGTCTCCAGTGTGTTAACCGTCTGGGCAAGCAGCCTTTGGGGACAGCCTCTGCAGCGCAGGCCAGAGAACATGCCGGAAGCAAGCAGCCCCTCTTCCAGCAGGAGGCGGGGCTCAGGCCCAGAGCCGGGCTTTGTCCTGCTCTCTTGAGCCCACCCACTGTCCGGTGCCGGGATGTGAGCCGGTGGCTGTGCTCACTGGTGGTGGCCACTCAGGCGTCCTCTCCAGGTCCCGCTGGCCTCCAGACCCTCGGTCTCCTGCCGTGTGGACAGCAGGGACTTTGCCGAAGTGGGCGTGCGGTTGGAGGACGAGCTGTGTGCCCGCCGGCATGGGGTCGCCTCAGCGTGTCAGGAGAGAGCAGCGGCACGCAGATCTCGAATTTCGTGCTGGGGTGGGGGGGTATTTAATATAACTAAACATAAGAATTTTTCTGAATGTAGCCCCTGGGCAGTGAATGAAATTTTAAGCTTATACAATAAGTAAAATGAAATACCACCGAGGGAGAGACTTTTTGAAAGAAGTGTGACGAAAAGAACACTTTAATTTAATGCTGCTGACTGCTCTGTTGTATGTTCGTTTGCGGAGTGCGAGGTATGCTTGACGGCGTCTTCTCTGGTGTATTTAAGGGGATGTATTTGCCTGAATTGCTCCTGTATCATTGCCAATAATATTGGAAACTAAAATAAAACTAGTTGGGAATCCTTTGTGGGACCTTCTCAGTTTATTCCGCTAACTCCCTTTGCCGTAACCGAGTCTGCAGGGTAGTATTTTTAAATGACCTTAACTGGGCAGGGGAAGTTCCCTCTGTGATCTGCCTTGGTTCCTCCGCACTCTTGGGAGGAATATGATACTCTCAGAAGAACCAAAGGCGTAACTGATGTTTAAGGACCAGGAAATCTAGAGTGATTTCTTCGCAGATTTCACTATAACTCTAAACCATTTTTCACTTAAAAAGTCATGACTCAGACTGGTCCAGCCTAGTTTGCCTTCTGAGAACTTGGTTGCGACCTTTTCTTTCTCTTTTTCTTTGAAGGGCCCTCAGCAGTGGCTTCAGGCATGACTAGTCCATTTCCTGGACCCTCCACCCACCCCCTGGGCAGTGGCACCACCAAGGCCAGCACTGCCGGTCACTTTCAGAGGCCTCCACATGGTGGATGGCAGCCGCCTCCTTTCAGGCTCCCAGGCCACAAACACATCACCCTGGACACCGCGTCACGCCGCGTCCAACCGGGCAGTGTTTCTTTGTTCTTTTTTTTTTATTTCAGAGAAAGGGAGAGGGAGAGAGAGAGAGAAACCTAGGGAGACATGTCGATCGGCTGCCTCCTGCACGCCCTCTACTGGGGAATGAGCCTGCAACCTGGGCATGTGCCCTGACCAGGAGTTGAACCAGGCCCTCTCAGTCCATGGTCAACATTCGTCCACTGAGCCACACCAGCCAGGCTCTTCTTCTTTTTTCTTTTTTCTTTTTTTTGCATTTATCTTCAGATAGAACAGAAGGGAGAGAGGGAGAGAGGAAGGAAGAAAGAGAGAAACATCGATGTGAGAGAGACACATCGAGTGGCTGCCACCCACACGACCCCAAATGGGTCCGGGGACAAACTGCAACTGAGGTACATGCCTTAGCGGGAACCGATCCTGGATCTCTCTGATCCACGGGCCGACGCTCCAACCGCTGAGCCAAACCGGCCAGGGCCTGGCTCTTTTCATTGAATTTATTAGAGTCACGGTTAATAAAATTACAAGTTTCAGGTATACAATTCCACAATACATATCTGTATATCATATTGTGTGTTCACTACCCCAAGTCAAGCCTCCTTCCATCACCATTTGTACCCCTTATACCTGCCTCTTCTGCCTTTCACCCCTCTTTCCCTGACAATCCGCATGCTGTCTGTGTCTATAGCCTGTCAGTTTTTGTCTTCAAAATACATCTGGACCCTGACCACTTCCCTCCACAACCCCCCCCCCCCCGAAGCAACTCCTCTGACCCAGGTTACTGTCCCCTAACTCGACCCCTCCCACCCCGACCCTCTTGTGTTTGTGTTCAGGCAGCAGCCTTTACATCCAAGTCTGCGGAAGTGTTACCTCGGCAGGGTTCAGATCCCTCTCTCCTGCCCTGTTCCCGCACTGTGAGTGCTCTCACCCTTCAACGTGTAATACACATTCTTTCTTTTTAAATATTTTTTCTTTATTGATTTTAGAGAGGAAGGGAGAAGGAGAGAGAGAGAGAAACATCGATCGGCCACCTCCTGCATGCCCCCCACTGGGGATCGGGCCCACAACGTGGGCATGTGTCCTGACTGGGAATCAAACTGCGACTTGGTGCATGGGTCAGTGCTCAACCACTGAGCCACACCGGCCGGGCCACATGTTTTTCGTAGCAGTCACCCTCTAACATGTACTGTCACGTGAGCTCTGAAGGCTGGGATTTTGATCTTTTGTTTACTGGTGTGTGCCAAGCTTCTAAACCCGTGCCTGGCACAGGATTGGAACTCAATACATACTTGCTGACTTGAGTCCTGTCCTGCCTGGTAACAAGTTCATACATTTATCAGTCCTCTAGCATCGGGGGACAGAACAAGTGCTACTGGAAACTTCCTGTAGGTAGTGCAAGGGGCTGTTCCGATCTCAGCAGCTGGAGGAGCTTGGGTTAGATGATGTCCAAGACCTAATTTCCCAAAGTCCAGGAGCAGTCCGGCCGGTGTGGCTCACTGGTGGAGCATCGACCTATGCACCAGGGGGTCGCTGGTTCGATTCCCGGTCAGGGCACATGCCCAGGTTGTGGGCCCGATCCCCAGTGAGGCGACCAATGGATGTTCTCTCTCATTGATGTTTCTATCTCTCCCTCTCTTCTTCTCTAAAGTCAATTAAAAAGGGGGGGAGGGGAGCCCAGGGGCTTTTAGCCACTTTACCCTGACCCATAATTAGGTATACAATAAGATCCAGTACACACACACAAGTGAAACCGAAACTTTTCATCATCACTCTGCAATCCACAGATGTTTTCTCCTTTTTTTAAAAAATAGTTTTCCTTTATTGATTTTCGATAGAGAGGAAGGGAGAGGGAGAGAAAAAACATTGATGTGAGAGCAAAACAATCGGCTGCCTCCTGCATGCCCCCCACCAAGGATCAAGTCTATACCCGGGCATGTGCCCTGACAGGGAATGGAACCAGCAACCTTTGAGTGCACGGGAGGGCACCCAGCCAAGGGAACCACACTGGCCAGGGCTGGACTGGGCACTTTCGAAGACAAACGATGTCATGTGCGGACAGACTGATGAGTCGTGGATGACTCGAGGGTTTTGCCCTGGGTACATAGTAGGATGGGGAAGCTTAGGGGGAGCAGGTCAGGGGGAGAAAGAGTTCTATTTCGAACATGTTAAATTTGGGCTCCTCTTTCCTAGTTGGATGTGTGAACTTGGAGCTCAGTGGTTAGTGGAGTCTGACCAGGAGATACTTTGGGAGTCAGCTCGGTGGACAGTGCCTTGGCCGAGGTTCCCCAGAAAGCAGAGCCTAAAGCAGAGGGCTCCTGCGCCCTCATTTTATTCTGTGGAACAGCCCCAGAGGGAGGGGGAGAAGTAAAAGCAGGGACAGCCAGCAGGAGGAGGCATGGAGCTGGCTGCCACCAAATGGGACTGCAGGACCAGCGGACTGTACCCCGAGAAGCCCTGTAATGGAGTCTCAGCCCCATTTCTTTCATTTTTTTTTTTTAATCCTCACCTGAGGATATTTTTCCATTTTTTGTACAGATAGAGAGGGAGGGAGAGAGAGTGAAAAACATCGACGTGAAGGGACACATCGAGTGGCTGCCACCCGCACGACCAACCAAGGCCGGGGACAAACTGCAACCGAAGTACGTGCCCTTAGCGGAAACCGAACCCGGGTCTCTCCGGACCACAGGCCGACGCTCTAACCGCTGAGCCAAACCGGCCAGGGCTCAGCCCCATTTCTTGATGGGGAGAAACAGAAGAATTTATCCACCATCTTCTCTTCCCGCTGGTTGAAGATTTGCCCTGTGGGGCATTGACCCTCTACATTTCTGGGGTGCATATATACACGCTTGGGAGCTAAGTTGGGGCCCACGGTAGGTGGTAGAGGCATGGGCAGGCAGGGTGGGTCACTGGGAGTAATGGAGAGGGGGCTTCTACTTCCGCCCTCTGCTACCTATACCCGTGTGTTCTAGCCACAGGGGACGCAGCAGCATACCCCAGCTTCCTGGGGAACAGCTGCAGGGGATGGTCTCAGAGCTATGCCACTGAGGTGCTGGGGTTTTTCCATAAGATCAGTAGATCTTTAGTCAGATGCCCATTGTCCCCCAAATGGGTCCCCTGTTGTGAGGCAATGTGTGTACCATGTTGCTATATCAGGTGATCTAAAACCCTCAGATGGGGGTGCAGGTAGGTCAGACTGGACCGTGTCTGGAGTAGTGTCCATCAGTAAGTATAAATCACCCCTCCAGGGTGGAAGGAGGTCTGATGTGATCAATTTGCCATGGGTGGCCGGCTGGTCTCTTGGAGATCGCATATTGAGGGCTCGGCTTCAGCAGCAAGACCTACGTGATCCTGTAGGAGAGGAAGCCAGGCCACTTCACCCCAGCGTCATGGCTGCTCTGTCCTTGGACCCGCACCAAGGTGGCTGAGAGGCTGGCTGACATCTACCAGTCACGTCATCCATCCAGCTGTGTTGACCATCTACCCTGCAGCAGAGATTCTCCGATGGATTTGAAACGAGACACAAAGGTTTAACCCTTTGTGCCCCCTTCCCGTTGGTCCTCACTGGCTCATCTTCCTACCTTTTCCCCAGTTCTCCTGAGCGCCAATCTTGTCACCTTTTCTCCTAGGCTCCTGACCACCACCCAGGTTTGCCAACGCCCAGGAGATTGCGTTTATCTGTTCCTCAGCCCGTTCATCCCTCCTCGTGAATGGGTGACTGGTTGTACAGTCCACAGCTCTGTCCCCTGGGAGGGTTAACCTTGGCTCTTGCCCTTCAGGGCCACTCCTGAAAGGGTGTTGGGGCAGGAATGGCAGCGGTCATTCCCAGCTGGTCCAGACATACTGTCAAGTTGTCTGTTTACCTGCCTCACATCTTTTTTTTTTTTTTTTTTCCTCACCCGAGGACATTTTTCCATTTTTTGTTCAGATGGAGCGGGAGGGAGAGAGAGGAACAGATAGAGAGAGAAACATCGATGTGAAGGGACACATCAAGTGGCTGCCACCCGCACGACCAACCAGGGCCGGGGACAAACTGCAACCGAGGTACGCGCCCTTAGCGGGAACCGAACCCGGGTCTCTCGGGACCACAGGCCGACGCTCTAACCGCTGAGCCAAACCGGCCAGGGCTGCCTCACATCTTTTTACAGCTTTATTGAGATACCATTTATATACACTAAACGGCACTTTTTTTTTTTGTCTTAAATCCTCACCTGAGGATATGTTTCCATTTATTTTCAGATAGAGTGGAAGGAGAGAGAGAGAGAGGGAGAGAGACATCAGCACGAGAGAGACACATTGACTGGTTGCCTCCCTCATGACCCCGACCAGGGCCAGGACCGAACTGCAACTGAGGTATGTGCCCTTGACTGGAATCAAACCCGCGACTCTTTGGTCCATGGGCCAACACTCTAACCGATGAGCCAAACTGGTCAGGGCTAAACTGTACAATTAAAGTGTACCATTTGCTAAGTTTGGACA